GATCTCTTGACCTCGTGATCCACCCGCCTCGGCCTCCCAAAGTGCTAGGATTACAGGCGTGAGCCACCGTGCCCAGCCTCTCCTATCATTTTCTAAATGTTGGGGGATTTAAATCTCGATGTCAGGGTTCATTGGGAACTTAATGGGGGGAGGGTCAGACACTGCAGGCCAAAAGCATTTCTCTGTGCACAGCGGGCCTCTGGGCCTGGAGAGGGGGGACAGGAGCCCAGAGAGTCTGCTGCCTCCGATGCTGCTTCGGCCCCCCCAAGAAAGTGTGGAGCCTGCAGGGCCTCTAGATGTGAGTACCCCTTCTGCTGAAGCAGAGGCAAGAGGCCTGGTGGGGTATCGCGCTCTGTGGAGCCTGGGGAGGGCACCACTGACCCAGAGCTCTCCTCAGGTGCTGGGTCCCAGTCTCCAAGGGCGAGAATGGACCCTGATGGACTTGGACATGGAGCTGTCCTTGGTAAGAAGTGGGTCGGGAAGGGCAGAGACGGGGATGGCTGAGCCAAGCCCTCTGGTCCATGGCTGTTCGCTGTGAGCTGGAGCCGTGTCTCCAGGAGGACTGCTGCAGCTGCCCACTTAGCTGCTAGATCCCCTCCCCAGCTGCTCCCTGCGGTTCTCACATGCAGATGCAGCCCTTGGTTCCAGAGCAGGGTGAGCCTGAGCTGTTGGTCAAGGGATTAAATTCTCCAAGCCCAGGTAATGGTTGTGATGACTCCCACCTAGAAGAAGGCCTTGACTGGGCTAAGCTACCTTGACTGAGCAAGGGGGCAATCTGAAATTTGCAGGGAAATTCCGAGTTCAGACTGCCCTGCAGAGAGTTCCTTGAGCCCCCCATGCCCTCACCTCTGGGTGAGAGTGGGAGGTTAAGAATGGATGTTTCATCCTAACTGAGCAGAAGGCAGGTGGGCAGGGCTCTCCTTCCCTGAAGAAAGGAGGGGGAACGTTTCCCTTGTGAACACTGCCCCACTTTTCCTAGGGAAGGACCCCACGTTGGGGGCGCCACTCCTGCTGGATGTCCAGGAAGCCTTGGGAGGCCCAGCCCTGGGCTTGCCTGGGGCTTTAGCCGTTTACAGCACCCCTGAGAGCCGGACCGCCTCCTACTTGGACCCGGAAGCCAGTCCCTCCCCCTAAGAACCTGGCCTCTGAAGGGGGCTGGAGTCAGTCCGTGGCTGCACACCCATTTTGGCTTCCTGGCGCCCCCTGGCGGGGGTGAGCGAAGCCCCCACTACTCATCATCCTCTCTCCACTACCCTGATTAGCCCTGCACATAAATTCCATTTTTTTTCTGTTTCTGGTCTCTTTTCTCTATCGGCCAGGGAGCACAGGAGTTGTGAATGGGGGTGATTTTGCATTTGTAGAAGCGTTCAGATACTAGGTCTTTAATAGAGGAGCCCCGGGAGGGTGGAGGTGGTTGGGGATCCGGTGCCTAGCTCCCCTGCCTAGGCCGGGATCCAGGGCTGGCGCTGGGACACTGCAATGTCTGGGAAACGTGGGCTTCTGGGTCACATTCAGCTCTGCAATGCATGCGTTCTGTGATCCTGGGTGAGTCAGTACCCCTCTCTGAGCTTCCTCTGTGACAGGCAGGGAAGAGGGGTCGATGACAGGATAGATGCAAAGCACCTGGAAATTGGCAGGCCCTGACTGGGCACTGGACTTGTGGGGCCGCGGGCCGAACTGACCCCTCCCGGCCTCATCTCCCGGTGCGCCCGGTTGGGGAGGGAAAGCTGACTACGTGCACGTCCCCGGCCAACGCGCGGCCTCCGCGGCGTGGCTCCCAGTGCCCGGGGAAGAACCCTCACCCTCCCTATTCCCAGCAGCCCTGGCCGCCCCGCCCCCGCCGCAGCTGCTGCACCCACCCCCACCCTGCCCGGCCCTTTCTGCACCGTCATCTCCTGCCCCGCCGAGGTTCGACCAGTGAGTGGGGCCGCCCAAAACGGGCCAGACCGGGAGTCCCACTCCCGGCTGGGGGAGGGAAGGGAAACCGAGATTGGACAGAATCAGCGCCCCACCACCAGCAGCGGCACTGGGGTGGGGAGGTCTGTGGGCCCCGCCCTGCCGCTGGACTCTCAGGCTCTGGGACTGGGTGGAGGGAGGTTAAGGGGATCCGTGCGGTCGCACATGCGCAAAGGCTCCACAGTGTCCCCAGACCCTGGCTCCCCGGCCAGAGAACCCGAGTATCGAGGTGGGGTTGGAGTCTGGGACTCAGCTCCACCCGCCGCCACCTGGCTCTCTGGGAAGCATCTGACCTGTCACGCTCGAAGGACTGACCGCTAAATAACTTCGGTATTGAGAACTGTTAAATCCTCAAAGGGAGAGAGCCCAGACCAGCTGGAATCTCTACCCGCCAGACAGGAAAAAGGGCAGGACGTGGGGTCATAGGAGGAGAAAGCTAACATGAAAACAGGCTGGAGTAGAGAGAAGAAGGGGCCAATCCAATCTGCACCCTCCCTGTGTCTGTCCCGAGTAGGTACTCTCTCCCTCTCCCTTCCTGTGCTCACCGATTGGAGGGACACTCTGGAAGCCTCAGTTGAAGAAAGCAGAGGATCTGCATGTACACAATGCAGTGATATTGATTATATGGTGGTGAGGGCATATGTTTGTTTACTGGGTACACAGAAGAACTACCTGCCCTTGGGACACTTAGGCATTGGTGTAAACAAGGGAACATTTGAGTCGTGGAGATGGATAGGTCCATGAAGTGGAGGGAGGGGAAGAGGATTCCAGCATCAGCAAAGGCTCCAAGGTGCCAGGGCCATAGTGAGTTCTCCCAGCCCTGACTGGTGGAGGGAAGCTGGGAAGGGCCTGGCTGTCCAGGGTGGTGGGAGGAGGTTAGAGTAGCCAGACTAGATAGTTAAGGTCTGATAGGCAGTGGGGTGGGGTGGGGGGAGGTAGATAGGTATTTAGGATGGAATTCTGCTAGACAGGAGAATATAGTTCAGTTCCTCATAGTTCAGGCTGGAGCAAGTAAGATTCCAGTTTTACCACTGAATCTCTGAGCCTGTCTCCTCATCTGTAAAATGGAAACAGTAATCCTAGCCCAGAAAGTTGTCAAATTCACTGTGCTGTGGGGTCTAGTGGAATGGGAGTGACAGGGGCTCAGAGGGACTGTTACAGGACATGAGGTGACTGTGGTGGGGTGGTGAGGCAGCAGCTGATGGATACTCACTGAGAAGTGGAGAAGCAAGACTTGTCACAGACGGGACATAAAGAGAGATGGAGGTGGCTCATGTCTGTAATCCCAGCACTTCGGGAGACTGAGGCAGGTAGATCACCTGAGGTCAGGAGTTTGAGACTAGCCTGACCAACATGGAGAAACCCTGTCTCTACCAAAAATGCAAACTTAGGCGGGCATGGTGGTTCATGACTGCAATCCCAGCTATTCAGGAGGCTGAGGCAGAAGAATCATTGAACCCAGGAGTCGGAGGTTGAGGTGAGCCAAGATTTTGCCATTGCCCTCCAGCCTGGGCAACAAGATCAAATCTCTGTTTCAAAAGAAAAAAAAAAAAAGAGAGAGAGAAAGAGAGAGAGAGAGAGATGGAGGGGCAGGGGATAGTCCTGGTCTCGGCTTGGTAGCCCAGGGGGAAGGGCTTCAATGGGCAGGAGCCAAGGTGTGAAGTGACGGGGGAGATATAGTGTGACACCAGAGGGTACTGAGAGAGACCTGGGAGGCAGGATGGAGGCTAGGACCAAATCCTTTCTCCCAGAGAAGGCCCAGCCTCCTAGAGTCAGAGGGGGAGGCAGAGGAGGGACAGCAAAGGGAAGAGGAGGTGGAAGGATGCTGTGTGAACAAAGCCAAGGCAGGGAGGAGGGGAAGTTATTATGGGGGTGGGGGTGAGCTGAGGCCATGGTCCAAAGCCAGCTGTCTTTGCCTCCTAATGCCAGGGGTCTTGCTGGCTGCATCAGGCCACTCACAGGAATGGGCCATAATCCCTGGTTGGGAATAAATGGACAAAGCAGCCAGGTGCGGTGGCTCACATCTGTAATCCCAGCACTTTGGGAGGCTGAGGCAGGCAGATCACAAGGTCAGGAGTTCGAGACCAGCCTGGTTAACATAGTGAAACCCTGTCTCTACTAAAACTACAAAAAATTAGCCAGGCATGGTGGTGAGTGCCAGTAGTTCCTGCTACTCGGGAGGCTAAGGCAGAAGAATTGCTTGAACCCAGGAGGCAGAGGTTGCAGTGAGCCGAGACCATGCCACTGTACTCCCCAGCCTGGGCCACAGAGCGAGACTGTCTCAAAAACAACAACAAGAACAACAACAACAGAAAAAAAAAAAAAGGCCGGGCGCGGTGGCTCAAGCCTGTAATCCCAGCACTTTGGGAGGCCGAGGCGGGTGGATCACGAGGTCAAGAGATCGAGACCATCCTGGTCAACATGGTGAAACCCCGTCTCTACTAAAAATACAAAAAATTAGCTGGGCATGGTGGTGCGTGCCTGTAATCCCAGCTACTCAGGAGGCTGAGGCAGGAGAATTGCCTGAACCCAGGAGGCGGAGGTTGCGGTGAGCTGAGATCGCGCCATTGCACTCCAGCCTGGGTAACATGAGTGAAACTCCGTCTCAAAAAAAAAAAAAAAAAAAAACAAAAGACAGGGACCAAGCAGATTAAATCTCCCTAATAGCTGCTGTTTGGTAGAGATAGTCTCTCATGAGCCAGGCATGGTGGTTCATGCCTGTAATCTCAGCACTTTAAGAGGCCAAGGCAGTGGATCACTTGAAGTCAGGAGTTCAAGACCAGTCTGGCCAACGTGATGAAACCCTGTCTCTACTAAAAATACAAAAATTAGCCAGGCGTGGTGGTGCATACCTGTAATCCCAGCTACTCTGGAGGTTGAGGCACGAGAATCACTTGAGCCCGAGAGACTGAAGTTGCAGTGAGCCCAGATGGTACCACTGCACAACAGCGAGACTCCATCTCAAACAAACAAAAAACCATACAGTCTCTCAAAATAGGGAGATCTATGGAGGAAAATCATGGAGAAAAATCCAAGTTCGGTGAGCATTTGTTGGTAGCTTGTATGAGCTAGGCCCTAGGTACTTTAAGATCAAACAAAATGTTTGTAGGTCATTCCCAGGTCAGCAGGGAGACAGGTGGGTCTCAGGTGATATCAAGAGATCTCGGTCAGAGCTAGGCCTGAAAAAGATTCTGGTATCTTTGCTCAGGAATCAGGGGACCAGGAAGGGTCATGAGACCACATTGGGGTCGCAGCTGGTGAGAGGATGCAGGGGCATCCTGCTTGGAAGGGCTTGTCTTGTGAAGTTGCATCTCAGGGTCAAGGTAAGGGAATAGGGGCAGGGAGGCTGTCAGCACTTTATGCTCTGGGTGCAGAGGGGATTGGAGGGGAGAGTGTGGAAGCAGGGAGCTCTGATCCCAGGTTCTGCGGGGCCAAAACAGGGGGCAGAAGGCTAGACTTAGTAAGTGCTGAGGATGGTGAGAGAAATATTCGGCAGACAGACTGGAAAGGACTTGTCTGCAAGCTGGGTGTGGAGTATCAGCTTCAATCCTAGGTTTTTCTGCCTGGATAGGTGGGGAAGTAGATTTGAGAGAAAGGCAATAGTTTGGATAAACAGGGTCTGAGCCCGGCTCAGATCTGCCGGGGCTGGAGCTCAGAAGGTCCTGGATGGGGAGGGCATTCAGAGAGTGGATGCGACTCCTGGGAGAGGCAGGGGAGAGGAGAGCCACGGCTGACGTTTAGGGACAGAAGGAGGAGCCTGAGGAGGAGACAGGACGCTGAGTTCCCTGTGTTGGCCTCCAGGTCCTGTGCTTGCGGAGCTGACTGGAGGCTGGGATCAAGGTGAACTTAGACCCCAGCCCACGTGTTCACTGGAGGCATTGAGAGAGGTCAGAGGCGGCGCGGAGAGCAGGGAGGGCAACCCCCTATTACTTCTCTCCCCTTTCCCCAAGCAGCTCCAACAATGGGCAATGCGCAGGAGCGGGCGTCGGAGACTATAGACCGCGAGCGGAAACGCCTGGTCGAGACGCTGCAGGCGGACTCTGGGCTGCTGCTGGACGCATTGCTGGCGCGGGGCGTGCTCACCGGGCCTGAGTATGAGGCGTTGGATTCACTGCCTGATGCCGAGCGCAGGGTGCGCCGCCTACTGCTGCTGGTGCAGGGCAAGGGCGAGGCTGCCTGCCAGGAGCTGCTGCGCTGTGCCCATCGTACCACTGGCGCGCCGGACCCCGCCTGGGACTGGCAGCACGTGGGCCCGGGTAAGCGCACGGGGCCGGGCCTAGGGCAGGGAGGGGGCGGAGCAAAGGTCCGGGGAGGGCGGGGTTGTCGTCTCCCCCTGAAGCAGGCGAGTGTGAAACTGCACCGGGGTCAATTGAGCCTCAGTCACTTCCATTTCTGTCCCAGGCTACCGGGACCGCAGCTATGACCCTCCGTGTCCAGGCCACTGGACGCCTGAGGCACCCGGCTCGGGGACCACATGCCCCGGGCTGCCCAGAGCTTCAGACCCTGACGAGGCCGGGGGCCCTGAGGGCTCCGAGGCGGTGCAATCCGGGACCCCAGAGGAACCAGAGCCAGAGCTGGAAGCCGAGGACTCTGAAGAGGCTGAACCAGAGCCGGAGCTGGAACCCGAGCCCGAGGCAGAACCAGAGCCGGAACTGGAGCCAGAACCGGACCCAGAGCCCGAGCCTGACCCAGAGCCCGAGCCCGACTTCGAGGAAGGGGACGAGTCCGAAGGTGTGAGGCCACCCAAACCCTGAGCTGGTTTGGCGGGAGGGTATCGCCTGGGGAGCGGATGGCAGGCCCCACCTCCTTGACAACTGTCCCGGTCATCTTTAGATTCCTGAAGCCCAGAACGCTGACCGACTGTGCCCCGCCCATGCTGGATAGGACCTGGGATGCTGCCGGAGCTGGATCAGATGCCACCAAGGCTCGGTCTAGCCCAGTACCGCTAGAAGTGGAGAAACTCCGGAGGGTCAGCAAGGACCTGGGCTTTCTCCACGATTCTGGCTGTTTGCGTAGGAACTGAGGGTGGGTGCCCCTGAGTCCCAGTGACCTGGGCAGCCCCAAGCCCACCACAGTCACCACCCAGTCCTCAGTCCTAATCTGCCCTTAGGAGCCCAGGCTGCACCCTGGAGACCTCAGACCCAGTGCCCTGGTGGGACATGGTCCTGACCTTCATGCCCACATACACAACCCATTTTCCCTAATGAGCCACTTGGCAGCCTGCGTAGGTACCAGCTCAACCCCATGCAAGTCCCTGGGCTTAACATGTAGCAAAGGGAGGGGGACTTCTCTCCATGTAGGGAGGGCTTAGAGCTCACAGCCTTGAGAGGTGAGACTAGAAGAGGGGAGCAGAAAGAGGGGAGTAGACAGAGGCCACAGACATCATTGTCATTACTGTTTTAATTGTCTGGCTTCCCTCTGGACTGGGAGCTCAGTGAAGATTGTGACTAGTAACTTACACAAAAGGCGCTGTACACATATTATATTTGCTGACTATATGAATAAGGACTTTCCAACTGCGTTTCTGAGTTTTACAGATGGGAAAACTAAGGCCAGAGGATAGGAGTGGGGCTCACACAGCTAAGTCTGAAGGGAAACTGGAAGCAGCAACCACCTGTGCACCTCACCTGGTCTAGGAGGGGTTCAGGACTTGGGCCACCAAACTCTAGGGGCCTGTCCCTCAGGCACAATTGCAGCTCCTCCTAGGCTGTGCTAACCTCTGCCAGAGACCAGCTGTGAGAGTGAGACAGGAACAGCAGAGGCCAGTGGAGGGGGTGGGGACAGGGCCAAGGGAACTTTTGGGCTTGACTCACAAGGCCTGAATCAGAGTGTGTGTGTGTGTGTGTGTGTGTGTGTGTGTGTGTGTGTGTGTGTGTGTCTGGAAAAATCGGTGCCTTCCAGTAAGGAGTATCCTGTTCTCCCCATGGAATCTTCAGGAGCTGCTGCTCCCAGCCACAGAAAATAGAGCGCATAAATATGGAATAAATACATAATCAGTGAGAGAGGCAAAGTGTTGGAAAGAATACCCCAGACCAGCTGGGTCTCTACTGACCCCAGGCTCAGACCATCAATCACCCCAGGAGAAGGGATCCCAACCCCCACCAGGACCCAGTGAGAGGTAGACAGCACAAATGCTGAAGGAGCACCGAGGGGCCAGGTGGGGGAAGGGAGACACTGGAGTACCCCGACACCCAAAGCCATCTCATGCAAGAAGAAGTTTCTATTCCCAAACCACCCCATCCCCATCAACGCTCAGCTCCCTTCCTGCCCCCATGCCTTCCCTCTGTTCAACCGAGAGCTGGAAGGCGGAGGGCAACTCAATTTGCCAGACATGCTGCTGCAAGTCCCCAGGCCCCAAGAAGGCTAGCAATGGACACAAACCCTCTGATGTTGCCGCTCCTCCTCATGGAATGCTCCTGCCCTCTCAACACCCCCAAGAAACACCCAGGCCGTGGAAGCACAGAGCAAACAGCTTCATGTTCTGGGGGCCCATCTGGAGCTTCTGTCCAGGGCCTCTGCCTGCAGCCCTCAATTGACATTAGTCTGGCAGCAGACGACCCAGCTCTGCCTCATCCAGCCGGTTGGTGGCCATGATGTGCTCCAGCTGCTGCCGGTAGCGTGCCAAGTCCTGCATGAAGTGGGGCACCCGGGTATTATCCAGCACCCCATGGGGCCGCAGGTGGTCCACGTCTTCATAGGACACCTGCAGGAGGAAGCTGGGTATCAGGCGTAGGCAGCAGCCCCTGACTTTCAGGTGGCTGGTTCCAGACCACTGCTTACAGCTTACTGCCCTTTGCTCTGGGACTCCTTCCTCTCCCTTCCTGATCCACAAGCAGCTACAACGTTTTGTACTACAACATTCTAGGCTTAATCCTGGGTCTTTGCTTTTTCTCTCAATAGTTTCTATTTGTCAGAGATGTCCCACAACCCCACTCCTCTCTCCAGCCTACCCTCTCCCCTCACCTCCAAACATGGGCATCCAACTGCCTCCTTAACTAGTCTTCCCCTGGATAGCCCTCAGACTGGCCCCATATCCAACGGTCAACTCCTGGGTGCCAGCTTATGCCAGCTCCACCCTCTTCACAGTCACCCAGGTCAGATTCCAGGGAGGGGGCTTGGACTCTCACCCTCCCATCAGGGAAGCCACTGAGTTAAAATGATTCCCCTCTCTGAAGAGCCCTCCAGCTAGTCCCTTCCTCTCAAACCCCATGGCCACTGGTTAGACCAGACCACCAACCCTTCTGCAGGAGTGACAGGAAAGGCCTCCTCCTCATGCCCTTTCCCTCCCTTCCCTAGGCCTCTCTCCAATCCACCTCCCATAAAACATCCAGAGGGCGCCTTCTAAAGCAAATTATCAGTGCCACTCCTCTGCTTAAAGCTCCTCCCACTCCCTGTTGCTTCAGACGAGGTCCACTTTCCTTGGGCTGGCACAAATGCCAGTGCCAGAGAGTTGGTCCCTGTCCATTTCTGCAGCCTCCTTCCCCTGGCCTTCCTGATTGCTCCCTTGGCCTGGAATGTTCACCTCCTTTGAGATGCAGTTTCTAAACACACCTGCAGCCTCCATTAGGCACCTGGTTTTAGCTGTCAGAATCATTTCATCTCTTGTTCTCACTTCCACCCACGCTTCCCCCGCCAGCAGAGGCCTGACACCCAACCCTCAGTCCAGTACCAATCTGAGGCTCAGGGTATACTACGGCAAAGCAGGGAGCTGGCTGAGGCTCTCAAGGTCCACAGTCCCTCACCTTGCCCAGTGAGGTCAGCAGCGGGAAATCGATGGTCTGGCGATGTCGCAGAATGCGCACGATGCCGTCTAGGTACACCTGGTCCTTGCTGAAACAACCTGGGAGCGCGGGAAGTCGGTGAGCCCCGCCACTCGCCCGAGGCCCTGCCTCTAGACCGCCCCACCCTAGGGACCTCCCCTACGCTGGCGCCCACCCGGAAGCGAGGTGTCTGTCTGGCCGCGCTTGGCGCGCACGCAGTACTCCCAGCGCACGTTGGCGTCCTGCACGTAGCGCGCCAGGTCCTGGAAGAGCTGGCGGAAGGACATGCGCGCAGCGCGGTGAATGGTGTAGTAGAGCAGCGCGGCGCGCCACAGGAATGGCTGCTTGCGGAACAGCACGCTGTGCAGGCTGGCCAGGCCCTCCTCTGTGGGGTTTGCCGGCCGCAGCCCGTACCGCAGCCGGCCCTCCGCGTTGTGCCACGGCTGGCGCGCGTTGTTCACGCCCCGCAGATAGTGGGTGCCTGCGGGGAGGGCGAGAGGAGGTGGCGCTGGGCGGGGCGTTTGGGGACCCACCTGTGAGCCCAGCCCAGGCCCTCCTCCACCCGGCCCGGGGCTCTGGCCGCGACATTTCCATCCTCATGCTCCCTAACTCAGGCTACCACACAAGTTCTCCCAGCCCCAGGCAGCGTGGAGCCCTCCTCCAGTAGACTCGCACCTAAGGATCCACAGAGGCTCACATACATGAATCCTCTCCCATCCGTCCCCCACCCTACACACACACACCTACGCACGTGTACGAACTCTCCCGAACTGACATTGCCCCCAGCCCTCCTGAGCACAAGAATACATATACCACCCTGCCCAACATCCTGAGTGCCCATATCATTTTGAACAGTCACGCTGATGCCCCTGGTAAAGAACACCTCTTGCCCACAGCAACAGTATTGCCGAGGAAGAGGGACAGACAGATAGGAATAGTGGTTAGTGCCCTGCGCCCTCCTGCCCAGCCTGGCCTGTCCCCTCCTAAACCAGGCGCCGTGTGTCCTCAAGCCAAGTTCATTCCCAGGATCTGGACTTCCACCCTGGAGGGCCCGCGTGGTGGCTAGCCTGATGGGACCCTGAGGGTTCTCCCTCTGGCCTGTCAGGGCCTCATCAACCTTGCCCCCACTGCCAAGACAAGTCGGAGAGGAAGGAGAGAGAAAAATATACCCAAAAGGAGCAAGAGATGAGGGCGCGCCCAGACTGTGGGCAGGCATGTTCTGGCCTACCTCTGAGAGCCAAAAGGAGGAGGTAGCTGCTCAGGAAGGGAAAGCCCCGACCTCAGGAGGGAAGGGGGAGAAACAAAAAGGGGAGTTACTGGGGTCCCTCCTTCCCACCCCTCCCACCTCCCAGTCCCCTTTCATGCCTACCCCCCCCCGCCCAGATGTTCACATCCTGACCTATCTCATGCCGCAGCATGCCCTCCAACCAGTACTGGCGGGCTCCGGTCAGGTTGATCGCTAATGTGGGCCGGCTGTTCTCCACCATCATCACTGCCTGGGACAGCAGATTCTCACTCAGCTGCACCACAACCTGCAGGTGGCAATGCTCTGAGCCATGGCCACCAGCCCGGGGCCAGGATGCAGGTGGACCCAATTATACCACCGGGCAGTGGGGCCAGACATTTGGCCAGGACACCTGCCCTCCACCACCTCTGCTCAGAAACAGCTCCCACCTCACTGGGGCAGGGGCAGGGGCAGGAGCAGGGGTTGGTCAGGTGTGGAGCTTGCCTGGGACCACCCACAAGACATCCTGATTTGGGGCATGTAGAGGAGGGGCTCTGCAGGCAGGACAAGCTCACCTCCCCAACGCAGCCCTCCTTCTGCATGTATTTGCGCACAATGGACCATATCTGGCACTTGGTGAGCAGCTGCCCCCCAGTGGCAGCCTCAAAGTGTTCATAGGTTCCAAACTTCTCCAGAACAGCCTCAATGATGCCAATTGCCTGTACACAGGGCCACAGTGGCTGGTCAGGACAAGCCCCTTGGGTGGTCAGGGCCAGGGTGTGGTGGGCAGGCTGGACTGACCTGATGGATGAACTGTCCAGAGGCCTCACAGTACTTCTCCAGCACAGCAGTGGGCACGGGCTCCTGGTACTCGAACTGTGGATTGTAGGTGTAATGGGACTGGAAGAACTTGTCTCGCTCACGGTCCATGTTGGTTGGCCGCAGGGCCACCAACATGCAGGGGCTCTTGCTGGCACCATGACCTGCATCCCTTTGAGTCTTAGCAATGTGAGGCAGGGAGGCTGCAGGCCGCAGGGTGCCCCCACCTGGGTTCCGTCGCCGTCCAGGTGGAGGCCGTCCCAGGGTGCCACGACCCCGCCGGCCAGTACTATTTACAGTGTAGGTGCTCTCACTGCGACGCATGTGGCCACGGTGGTCCAAGTGCAGCTGTGAGAAAGGCTGCTGCTCAGGCTGGGGCTGCAGTGCTGGGGGGACTGCCAGAGCCAGAGGCAAGGCCAGGGACTGAGACCAGGGGTACAGTGGTGGCCCATCTCGGTCTGAGGGCTTCAGCCTATGGCGCAGGGATGAGGGACTGGTAGGCGGGCTGTGGGGTGCCTGCTCATACGCCTGAGCCCCCGAGTCCAGCACCATTCTGTCCTGGGGGTCACATCCAGCTGAGTCACTCCAAGTCCCCACACTGTCGACCTCTGGGGACACAGAAGGGCATGTGGAGACCAGCATGAGTGGGTGTGACCAGAGTACCTGCAGGCCCTGTGCTCCACACTGCCTCTGCTGGGCCCTTGGTGGGCCCAGGCTCTGCTACCAGGGGTCTGAATGGCTGCAGCATTCATTGCCTCCAGCAGACTTGCCCAAGTATACTGGGCTGGGAGAAAGCAGGGTTTTTTTTTCATTTTTGTTTTTTCAGATAGGGTCTTCCTCTGTCACCCAAGCTGGAGTGCAAAGGCATAATCATAGCTCATTGCAGCCTCCAATGCCTGGCCTCAAGCGATCCTCCTGCCTCAGCCTTCCAAAGTGCTGGAATTAAAGGCGTGAGCCACTATACCCAGCCAAAAGCAAGAGTTTTAAACACCCACCTAGATCGGTGGTTACTGGAATCTTCTCAGCCTGTGAGCTCCTGAAGGCAAGGAATGAGCCCCTTACTCCTGATTCTAATCTCTGTGCTCAGCAGTCACTAAATCTGGGAGGTGGTACAGTGCAGCCTCAGCTGCCTGGACAGATTAGGTAGGTGAGAAGGCCTCAGGGGCTGCCTTCTGCCTATGGCATCTTCTTAGTGCCACCCCTGCCCACCCACCTGGCTTTATCCACATCCTCCTGCCCATTTGGCCTCAATTTGAATCTGTCTGAGGGCCCCACACTTAACGCCAGCTCCCCCCAGAATCCCCTCTCTCCTCTGGGCCATCTGTTGAAATCCAAATTTAGAATCTGCTTTTGGGGAGCAGAGGGAAGCTTCAGCAAATCCAAACAAGCCAATCTCTGGCCTGTCCCCTATCTGAGGGATTTTTCAAGTGGTCATCCAAGGCCAGTGTCAGGGTGCTCACCCCAACTCTGTTCCAGGACTCAGTCTCTCCCCAGAGACTGCCTGGAGAGGCTCCAGCTGCCGAGCTCCCTTGCCTGCTCAGCGACTCACTTCCAGCATTTCTCCTCTCTCCTACATCATCAATCTCTTCCTCTCTACTGGAGTCTTTCCATCAGCACAAACACATGCTGTTATTTCTCCATCTTAAAAAAACAAAACAAAACCCTCACTAGAATCCACACTCTTCCAGCTACAGCCCCACTAGGTCTCCCTCTATCTGCTCCTATTACACCACATACCTTGAGTCAACTATACCCAGTCTCCAGTTCCTTCTTTCCTGTTCTCTCTCTCTCTCTCTTTTTTTTTTTTGAGATGGAGTTTCACTCTTGTTACCCAGGCTGGAGTACAATGTCGCGATCTCGGCTCACCACAACCTCTGCCTCCGGGGTTCAGGCAATTCTCCTGCCTCAACCTCCTGAGTAGCTGGGATTACAGGCACGCGCCACCATGCCCAGCTAATGTTTTGTATTTTTAGTAGACACGGGGTTTCACCATGTTGACCAGGATGGTCTTGATCTCTTGACCTCGTGATCCACCCGCCTCGGCCTCCCAAAGTGCTAGGATTACAGGCTTAAGCCACCGCGCCCAGCAGTCTTTTTTTTTTTTTTTTTTTTTTTTGATACGGAGTCTTGCTCTGTCACCAGGCTGGAGTGCAGTGGCGCGATCTCTGCTCACTGCAACCTCTGCCTCCTGGGTTCAAGTGATTCTCCTGCCTCAGCCTCCCAAGTAGCTGGGACTACAGGCACGCACAACCATTCCCAGGTAATTTTTATATTTTTAGTAGAAACAGGGTTTCACCATGTTGGCCAGGATGGTCTCGATCTCTTGACCTTGTGATCTGCCCGCCTTGGCCTTCCAAAGTGCAGGGATTACAAGCGTGAGCCACCATGGCTGGCATCCCATTCTCTCTTAAATTCACTCCAATTAGCCTTTTCTTCCCTGCTTTCCATCCATATTGATTTGATCAAGGTCAACAATAACCAGCAATGACCTTCATATGGATCAGCACCCAATACAGTTAATCACTGCATCCTGAAAACATGCTGTCCACTTGGTTTTCCAAACACACTCAAACTTAGTTCTACCCCTACCTCACTGGCTGTTTCTCATTGGCCTCCCTTGCTGGTAATCCCTATGACCCTGACCTCTTAACACTGTAACCCTCCAGGACTTGTTATGGAAACTTCTGCATTTATGTTCACTCCCTAGCTGTTCTCATCCACTCTCGTGGTTTTAAATACATTGGCTCAGACTTCTTCCATAAACTTTAGACCAGTGTTGCCAATTTCAGTGCAATTTGAGATAGGGTCTATTTGTCCAGGCTGGTCGTGAATTCTTGGTCTCAAATGATCCTCCCACCTCAGCCTTCAAAATAGTTGGAAACACAGGCACACACCATCATGTCCAGTGTCAGTGCAGTGTCTTCACTTGAATGTTTTTTGTTTGTTTGTTTAAGATGGAGTCTCACTCTGTTGCCCAAGCCGGAGTGCAGTGGTGCAATCTCGGCTCACTGCAACCTCTACTTCCTGGGTTTAAGCAGTTCTCTGCCTCAGCCTCCCGAGTAGCTGGGATTACAGCTGCCCACCACCATGCCTGGCTAATTTTTGTATTTTTAGTAGAGATGAGGTTTTACCATCTTGGCCAGGCTGATCTTGAACTCCTGGCCTCATGATCCCCCTGCCTTGACCTCCCAAAGTTTTGGGATTACAGGTATGAGCCACTGCACCCAGCCCAACTTGAATGTTTGACAGGCATATCAACAGAATATATCCATTTCAAACAGAATATGTCTGGGATGTTCCTCCCCCTATATAATGGCATGGGTCACTCACTTTCCTCAAATCTCTGCATCAATATCATGTTATTGGAAAAGCCTCTTTAGGCTGGGCACAGTGGCTCATGCCTGTAGCATTTTGGGAGGCTGAAGCAGGTGGATCACCTGAAGTCAGGAGTTCAAGACCAGCCTGACCAACATGGAGAAACCCTGTCTCTACTAAAAATACAAAATTAGCCAGGCGTGGTAGCACATGCCTGTAATCCCAGCTATTTGGGAGGCTGAGGCAGGAGAATCATTTGAACCCAGGAGCCAGAGGTTGCAGTGAGCCAAGATTGTGCCATTGCACTCCAGCTTGGGCAACAAGTGCAAAACTCTATCTCACACAACAAAAAAAAAAAAAAAAAAAAAAAAAGAAAAGCAAAGCCTCTCTAAGAACATGCCCTCTATAAAATAGTAAATCTCCTCTCCCCTCTCAACTATCTTCCCTTTCCCAAATTGTTCTCTGTAGCAGTCATCACCATCTGAAGTGTACTTCAGTACACTTTATATTTACATGATAGGTATATTTGATGGTTATCTGTTTTATCCTTTCCAACATTCCCAGCTGTGTCCCCAGAACAGTGCCTGGCCTAGAGCAGTTGCTCAATAAATAAATGAACCCAAGAGCCCTGCTCCTATCAGAACTAGAATTATTCCTTCCCTGCACTTTGCTTCACTACCTAGACCTCATCTTCTCCGTCTCTACTCCCTTCTACCCTGCCTAATGACCAGCTGCTTGAAAAGACTTCAGGTCTCAGGCTTTACTCCCTTTAACTAACTACACTTTTCTGGGCTCCTGACCCTTTACAGGCTTCTACCTGGGCCACTCCCCTCCATCTCACCTTTCATTCAACATACCTCCTCGAAATTACCAGAAAACGCGTTCCTTTCGTGTCTCGGGTTCTTCCGCCAAGAATGTCCTTGCAATATATTTCTGGAGCAAACTCTTAAGCATTCTTCAAGTCTCACTTTAGGCCTCACCTCCTCCAGGAAGCCTTCCCCGCGTCTAGAGTCCCACTGCTTCGGCGACTTTTTTACTCAGAGCTGTCACTGTCGGATCCTAGGTCCGTGTCCTCCCACCATCCCCTGAACTCCCCGAAGGCAGGAACCGGGTCTGATTCACCCTAGTGTACGAAGCACCCAGCACTAGGTGCATAATTAAAGGATGGATGGGGGAGGAGCCCCCGACTACTAAAGGCGGGGCCTGGTGACAAATGAGAGGGTGTGGCTTGTGCCGATAAGAAGCCCCGGGAGAGGATAAGGCGAAGAGCCAATGGGGAACCAGAAATCGAGGAAGGGCGTGACATGCAGCCAATAAGCGGCGGAAGATAAGGCGAAGGGCGTGCCCAATGGAGGGTGGGGCCAGGAGACAATGGAGTGAAGGATTCTCCCGGAGATCAGGAAAGGTCGCGTCGCGCGCCTCCTCCCGGCCTTTGTGGGGGTTCTGTCCGCGTGCCGCGCCCCCACCTGTTCGCTCCTCTTCTTGCCGCCCGCAGCCCCCGCTCTGCTACACCGGCCACCGACCACCCAGCCGCCGGGAGCCAACGCCGATGACGCACACCCTCGGGCGCGCGCACGCTCTTAGGAAGGCTGGGGGCTTCGCGTCAGTCTCCGCGCCGGCGCGTCCCCGAGGCCACTGGGGGCGGGGCCAGGCCGGGGCGAGGGGGCGTGTTCGTGGTCCTGGGCCCACCCCCTTCCGAAGGCCCCCTTGGGTTTCTTGGATTCAAAGGGTCCCAGGCTGCCAGGGCGGCCGAGACTTCCGCTCACTGCCTGGGTGCCGAGACGTAGAGCCTAGTCCGCGGCCTCGGGAAACGCAGTCCGCACAGAGGGCCAATGCCTGCCTAGAAGGGGCGCAGCTCGTGTACCAGTACGGGAGCCAGGATACCTTGGGCGTGTCACTGTGCAAGGATTCCCCCAACCTTCGCGGGCACTTTTATTCGACCCCTTCTCCAACACACACAGACGCGGGTCCAGGAGCCGTGGTTTATTCTGCGGACAGCGGGGCTCAGGCGCAGAACCCCGAGCGCAGGCAGGAGGCCGACTCAGGCGCGGGTGCAGGCACAAGACTGAAGAGGGCGCGGCGGTCAGCGCAGGGCGAGGGCGGCGGCCCAGCCTTAAGGAAGCTGAGCGCGGCCAGGCGCTGCTCTTGGGACAAGCCCCCGCGCAGGTCCAAGAGGGCGGAGACGTGGTCCTCGCTGTAGGGGCAACAGGGGCACATCAGCCCGGCCCTTGTCCCCCTTCCGGCTTCTCCTTCCTCCCCGACCTCCGTCCGCACCTCACATCGGGAAATTGTTGCCGCAGGCAAGCCACCTCGAGGCCCAGAAGCGCGGGGTCGTGGAGGTTCAGCAGCTTCCTCAGGGCGAGCAGCACCGGCGCGCAGTGCGCGCTCTCCTCCAGGCCCTAAGCACGTCGGGGTAGGGTTTCAGCCGGCCCTGGTCTCCCACCCAACCACTGAGACTCTCCCCGTCTGCCCGCCCAAGAAGCTCTCACCAAACCGAGGAAAAGCTGCTGAAGCTGAGCAGCATCGTGCTCCAGGCGCTCGGCCGCCTGGGTCCTCTCGTCGGCTCCGCGGCACACCAGGCGGCCTTGCATCAGCGCGCTCAGGTACTGAAGCACCACGGCGCGCTCGGCCTCAGCCAGCAGCACCTGCGGGAGGTAATCAGGCGGGTGCAGGTTGCCTCTCTTACCCGCACCACTCCTTCTCCAGCCTTTTCCCCCAACGCACCTGAACCGTGGGGTTCCGCACGCGCCAGAAGTCCCGACAGAAGCGCTCTGTCCGTTTGCACACACTTTCTAGTAGCTCAGGGCTCGACAGCCACCGGCGCGAGGGCAAAGCCGCGAACAAGGGCTGGGGAAATGATCCAGACCTGGCATTTCCGCGGAGACTCCTGTACTTACGCTGTACCTCCACCTCTGCACCTCCTGCTCCGATGCCGACCTGAAGAATGCCTCACCTGGAGCTCCGCCAGCAGCGCCTCCAACACCAAGCGGCAGATCCTCCTCTGCAAATCGTCCAGCGCAGCTTCCACTGGAGCCAAGGCCCCTGAAGCCGCCCCGTCCAACTGCAGGACAGACACTGAGGAGCTGGACCGAGTAAAGCTACGGCTTCAGGACCAAGGCCAAGGCCCGCATGGCCCTAGATGGTCCAACCCCTCGGGCGCCACCTTGTGGGGTAAGTGTTTGGCGGGAGGGAGCGAGAACGGCTCCCTGCACTTCTAGTCTCAGGCAAGGACCAGGGCTGGGAGGCGGGCGCTCCGCGAGCTACAAAGGACACAGCCCAGTGGGACCTGATTGTAATTCGCGGTGCGACCTTGAGCAAAACATTCTTTCGGTTTCTGTTTCCTCATTTCCTCACTATCCTAGTGGGGAGGGAGTAAAAATCATCACTAATTTGTCCTCCTTGCCCCCACCAAAAAGAACACACTACCCAAGAGGGAGTGTGTGTGTGTGTGTGTGTGTGTGTGTGTGTGTGTGTGCACTCAACTGCTGTAACCCCAGGCATTACTGGCACAGAGTCGGGCCTTGATAAATATTTGCTGGATGAATGAACAATTGACACTGTGCCAGGCAGGCACTGTGCATGTTACCTCATGTGATTCTCAGAATATTCCATTAGTACCCACATAATATTGAGAAAAGTGAGATTCAGAGAGATTAGGTAACTCATCCCAGGTCACACAGCTAGAAATCAGCAGAACTAAAATTGGAACCCCCCCAGGCGATGTGAGTCCAAACTCCCTACTGTCCTAGTGTGGGCTGGGTCCATGCAAAATAGATACTCGATAGGGGGTTAGGGAAGATGGGGCTCCCTGGGGGCCTTCTGGTACCTGAGTGCTGACTGGTGGTTGAGGGTGGCCAGTAAGTAGGACACGTAATGAGGGGCCACTGCTTCCCCCCTGAGGTGGTCTCGGGAGAATCTGATCAGTGCATCACTGAAGCTGCAATGGGCAGAGGCGGCTCCTGGACTTGCTGCTATGCTGGCACCCCCACAACCCTAGTCCTTGGTACTCCTGTCCCACCTCCAAGATACCCAAGTATTTGATTGACAGAACTCTTTCCCTGTGCTGTGTCTTATTCACCCAGACCCCCTTTGGGCTGCCTGGGGAGCAGGGATAGGGATCAGGAATGGGTGAGTGCCTCTGCAGACCTCCTCAGGAATACGCCCAGTTCTGACAGTGCCATGCCTTGCACTCGCCGTTGCAGTGACTCACTGACCGGGCTGGCCACACGAATGTTCTCCTCCAGGATCTGCAGGCAGAAATAAGCAGCCATTGGCAAAGCCTCCTCTCCCTTGCTCCATGGAGACTGCTGCCTTCTGGCCACTTCCCACCTACCTGCATCACAATGGCTGGCAATGGTGAGTAATAGGAGCCCGATGAGTCTGTGTTGGGCTCCTGCTTCCGGCCCCACTCAGCTACCTCCTCATCCAGTGCATTCTGCAGCCACTGGGCCACATTTGCCTGGGGGAAGGGGCCAGGGGCAAAGGAATGTAGCAGGACTCTGATCCTGCCAGAGATGGGTACACATTCAACTCTGCAGATCAAGGCCCACAGCAGATAAGTAGGGCTTCTCTGGACCTGTGCCCCAACTATTCACCTGGACGTTGGCCACAAATGTTGCCTCCAGCTGCTCAATGTTCTCCACGGTCAGGAGAGGCTCCAGCTGGGATACATCAGCCTCAGGCCCCAACTCTAGGCTCCCCATCATTTCCTGCCTGGAGATGGATGGCCTGGTGTCACACCAAGCCCCAGCCTTTGATCCCCCACGTCCCACTGCCCCAAGGGCACTGACCCTAGGTACACATGCAGTGCCCAGTGCAGCAAGGTGAAGGCATCAGCAGCTCCCAGCTCAGGCCCTGTAAGGAGGTGCTGCAGGCTGCAGTGCAGGCCACTGTGCAGGGTGTAGGCCCATAGCTGGACCACATTGTAGTGTGGTGGGCAGCAAGGCGCTACTAGTGCCTCAGCTGTGGCCAACTCAACTGGCAGGGCCACTCGCAGAGCCTCCAGCCACTCTGCTAGGGCCCCTGGCGCGGGCAGCAGAGGTGACCCGAAGTGGGCCCGCTCCAGACCCTCCTGTAGTGCCCGCAGACAGCGCTGCCGCCAGTCCCGGGGGGCCTGGCCTAGGGGGGGTTTTCGTCCAGTCTCTACCTCCGCCACACGCACAGCAGCCACCAGAAGGGCTGGGTCCTCCCGTGCCAGCTTCCCTGCAGTCCCTGCAGCTGCTTCCACAGCCTGGCCCAGTGCCTCAGCCAGAAGGTCCAGCCCCTGGAAGACTGGCAACTCCAGGACTCCCAGGAGTGCCCATGTATCCTCTCGCAGCTGTTCCAGCTCCCGAAGGCTCACATATGCCTCCAAGAACTGTTGGGCATCAATCAGGATCTCTGTGTGGGCCACTGCGGCTGGCACTGATGAGGATGAAAAGGAGACAGCCTTGGGTCTCAGCCTTCCCAACACCTCAATGTCTACAGCAGGGGATACTAAGGCCCAGGGCTGGGGTGATGTATAAAATATTTAATAATCAGTAAAGTAAGCTGGGCACAGTGGCTCACACCTGTAATCCCAGCACTTCGGGAAGCTGAGGTGGGCAGATCACTTGAGGTCAGGAGTTTGACACCAGCCTGGCCAACATAGTGAAATCCCATCTCTACTAAAAATCCAAAAATTAGCCAGGTGCGGTGGCAGGTGCCTGTAATCCCAGCTACTCAGGAGGCTGAGGCAGGAGAAGCACTTGAACCTGGGAGGTGGAGGTTGCAGTAAGCCGAGATTGCACCACCGCACTCCAGCCTGGGTGACAGAGTGAGACTCTGTCTCAAAAACAAAACAAAACAAAAAACAAACAAAAGGGCCTGGCAAGGTGGCTTATGCCTGTAATCCCAACACTTTGGGAGGCTGAGGCGGGCAGATCACTTGAGGTAGGGAGTTCGAGACCAGCCTGACCAACATGAAGAAACCCTATCTCTACTAAAAATACAAAATTAGCTGGGTGTGGTGGTGCATGCCTGTAATCCCAGCTACTCAGGAGGCTGAGGCAGGAGAATTGCTTGAACCTGGGAGGCAGAGGCTGCAGTGAGCTGAGATCGCAACATTGCACTCCAACCTGGGCAACAAGAGCAAAACTCTGTCTCAAAAAAATAATAACAATAATAATAGGCCGGGCACAGTGGCTCGTGCTTGTAATCCCAGCACTTTGGGAGGCCAAGGAGGGCAGATCACAAGGTCAGGAAATCGAGACTGTCCTGTCCAACATGGTGAAACCCTGTCTTTAATAAATACACGAAAATTCGCCGGGCGTGGTGACACACACCTGTAGTCCCAGCGACTCGGGAGGCTGTGGCAGGAGAATTGCTTGAACCCAGGAGGTAGAGGTTGCAGTGAGCCGAGATCCAGCCACTGCTCTCCAGCCTGGCGACAGAGCGAGACTCCTTCTCAAAATAAAAACTAAAAAAAAAAAAAAAAAAAAAAAGACACATAAACAAAAAACCACAAATAAAAAAATAACCAGTAGAGTACTGGCCAATCTAAGAGGATCTTGGCAATGTCCTAGAGGCCAGGTGGGCCAGAGGGCAATGCGTGAGCTCATGGAACACGAAAAAGCTGAGGATGCTGGAGGGAGGGCAGGGGAAATCGAGGGGCCCTGCCAGTAGTCACTCAGCCACTCTGTTAAGGAAGAGTTTCAATATATTGGTAAGCAGGTGGCCAGAGTCACGTGACTGGGTGTCTGTCCCAACTCAGGCATCCCACGCTTGGGAACCCCAGGATGAGCCGATTTGCACCCTGCCTCATAGGCCATGGGCAGCCTGGGCTACTCTCTGGAAGGTCCCTGGTGTGCCGCTCTATATGGTTCCCCATCTAGTGCCCCAGCCCTTTGGTCAGGGATGGGTGTTTGTGGACTGACCGTTGGAGACTGAGGACCAGGGTCCCTGCATCTCACCTGCCCGTAGCCGAGGCAGCAACTGAGACAGGGCCTGCAGTTGCTTGTGCTGGGCAACCTGCTCCCGTAGGGGCTGTAGGGGCTGTGAGGCCTGGGACACACCCTGGAGCAACCCACAAGCCTGGCTCAGGGCCTCCCGGGTTTCCTGCACGGACTCAAGGGCCCGGGCCAGCTGCCACACACCAGTCTGCACGCCTTCCAGGTATGACTGCATCACTGACTGTGGAGAGATGGAGCCAGTGAGGCCTGGCCAACCCTGCAGCACAGTCCCAGCACCCACCCCACCCTGCTCCATGCCTACCTTGAGGCGTGCTTCCAGGGAGCAGGTACGCTGCACCTCTCGGCTGCGGTACTGGCCTAGCCTGGCCAGCTGCTCCGGCTGGTAGAAGATGCCCGAGGCCCACTTGAGCGCTGCACCCCGGGCTAGCCGCTCTGCCCGCTCCTGCTCCGGCCACTCAGGCCCTGGGCAGGAAGAGCCTGGGTAGCCGTGTCAGTCAGGGAGGGGGAGGGCCCAATGCCCCCAGTCCCATCTTTCTTTTCTATTTATTTATTTTTTTTTTTTTGAGGCAGAGTCTCGTTCTGTTGCCCAGGCTGGAGTGCAATGGGGTGATCTCAGCTCACTGCAACCTCCGCCTCCAGGGTTCAAGTGATTCTCCAGCCTCAGCCTCCCGAGGGGCTGGGATTATAGGCGTGTGCCACCATGCCCAGCTAGCTTTTGTATTTTTAGTAGAGATGGGTTTCACTATGCTGGCCAAGTTAGTCTTGAACTCCTGACCTCAGGTCATCCACCCATCTCGGCCTTCCAAATTGCTGGGATTACAGGTGTGAGCCACCATACCCATCCAGTCCCATCTTTGTTGCCATCATTCCTCCCCCAGCCCACTTAGAAGGTTCATACCAGGGGACAACGTGGGCTGCATTTCATCCTTGGCTGCTGAGTCCATTGCGGGCCTGGTGGAGCCGGCGCTGAGGTGGGCCCGGGGCAAGCAGGCAGAGTAGATGCCCCTCTGAGCTGCTGCCTCTGTCTAGGCCCTTCTGAGAAGGAGGAAGGAGGTTCTTCCTGGTCCTCTCAGGAAATGAGAGGGAGGAGGTGTGATGCAGTGGGCACCTGGGAGGCTTTGCCTGCTAGGTTTCCCAGTTATGCCCCTGCAGATGCCAAGTGAGACAGGGTGGGCACAGGTCTCAACTGGACCCTGGTCCTGCTCTGAGCTGCACAGGACAATTTGGTACAGAACTTACCAGATTTGATCAGGCGTCCAGTTCGCCCTCCACAAATGATCTTGACCTTGAGAACAGCCCTCTTCCCCCAATGGAGCTGGGCATGCCTGCCACTCGTTCACAGGGCCTGGGTGACTCCGGCTGACTCCAGCGTGCAGCTGAATTCCTCTCCCCAAGGAAGTCTCTCCCACTCCCCAGCCCAGAAGCCCCTTTTTCCCACCAAGGCTCCTCCCTCCCCAAGGCCACCGACAGAAAGGAAGGAAGCTGAGTCTCTGGCATTTTATTCCCAACAGGAAAAAGCATTTGCATGGAGGGTGGGGAGGGCTGGGCGCCACTTCCCTGAGCGGGGGTGGGGGGGGGGGGGGGGGGGGTGGTGGGCGGGATGTACTTGTGATCAACAAGTCTTGACCAGCCCTCCTAGAACCTCTTAGTGCTCAGAACAGGAGACAGGGATTTGCTAGACTTGGCCTCAACCTGGGGTGGTGGGCAGTGTGCAGATATGAATGTAGATGACGTCAACATCACAGGATGGAAACTGTGTTGACCTGACTCTGAGGAGGGTGTGTACCTCTGTGGAGAAGTGAGAGGTGGCAGGCTGTTGTTAAGAGGGGTGTGGCCAGGGGTGGCAGGAGAGGGTCATGAAAAGTGTGTTTATCTTTTTTGTTTGACAGGGTCTCAATCTGTTACCAAGGCTGGAGTACAGTGTCACCATCATAGCTCACTGCAGCCTCCTGGGCTCAAGCGATCTGCCTGCCTCAGCCTCCCAAAGTGTTGGGATTACAGGTATGAGTCACCACAACTGGGCAGCTATGTTTTATCTTGAGAATTACAGGGACCCAGGAAAGGGACTACAAGGTGGTAATAATTTAGTGGATGTTCAGTCCACCACCCAAATCCACCCTTCAGGATAGAGGCACTCATTCTCCAAATGTGAGTGTAGGCTGCTGAGGTTACACCACTGAGTCTCTCAGTCAATATTGGGCTGCAAAGGCATTGGTACTATCTTGTGAACATGAACCCTTCAGTAGTGCTACCCCAATTTCAGAGGTCCTAGTAGAATAGGCTGAGGCCTATAATATAATTGCATCTGCCCAATTCTGCTTGTTTTACTCCCTTAAAGATGTGGATCCTGGCCAGGTGCGATGGCTCACGCCTGTAATCTCAGCATTGTGGGAGGCTGAGGTGGGAGGATAGCTTGAGCCCACCAGTTCGAGACTAACCTGGGCCATATAGTGAGCCCCTCATCTCTACAAAAACTAAAAATAACGGCCAGGTGCAGGAAGAAGCTCACACCTGTAATCCCAGCACTTTGGGAGTCCAAAGTGGGCGGATCACGAGGTCAGGAGTTCGAAACCAGCCTGACCAACGTGGTGAAACCCGCTCTCTACTAAAAAATACGAAAGTTAGCTGGGTATGGTGACAGGTGCCTGTAATCCCAGCTACTCAAGAGGCTGAGGCAGGAGAATTGCTTGAATCCAGGAGGCGGAGGTAGCAGTGAGCGGATTGTGCCATTGCACTCCAGCCTAGGCAACAGAGTGAGACTCTGACTGAAAAACAAAAACAAAAACAAAAACAAAATAAACGAGCCAGATGTGGTGGTGCATGCCTGTGGTCCCAGCTACGTGGGAGGTTGGGGTTGGGAGAATTGCTTAAGCCCAGGAAGCTGAGACTGCATTGATCCTGCCACTGCACTCCAGCCTGGGCAACAAACAAATTGAGACCCACTTCAAAAAAAAAGGTGTGGATCACCAACAAACTTGCTGCAAAATGAGTCTCATTTCCCAGAGAACCTGACCTGAAAGAAACAACAATGTTAAAAATAACAAAATGGCCAGGGGGCGAGGTGGCTCACGCCTGTAATCCCAGCGCTTTGGCAGGCCGAGGTGGGTGGATCACCTGAGGTCAGGAGTTTGAGTGAGATCTGCCTGACTAACATGGAGAAATCGCGTCTAATTAGCAGGGTGTGGTGGCGTGGGCCTGTAACCCAGCTACTTGGGAGGCTGAGGCAGGAGAATCGCTTCAACTCGGGAGGCAGAGGTTTCGATGAGCCGAGATTGTGCCATTGTGCTCCAGCTTGGGTGACAAGAGCGAAGATCCATTTAAAACAAACAAACAAACAAAACAAGAAAAACCCAACTATATGTATATATGAATAGGCAGGGCGCAGTGGCTCACGCCTGTAATCCCAACACTTTGGGAGTCTGAGGCGGACGGATCACGAGGTCAAGAGATCAAGACCATCCTGGCCAAAATGGTGAAACCCTGCCTCTACTAAAATTACAAAAATTGGCTGGGCGTGGTGGCGCATGCATTTAGTCCCAACTACTCGGGAGGCTGAGGCAGAAGAATCACTTGAACCCGGGAGGCGGAGGTTGCAGTGAGCCGATATTGCCCCATTGCACTCCAGCCTGGTGACAGAGCGAGACTGCGTCTCTAAATAAATAAATAGGAGAACAAAAAAAAGGAACAGGCTTGAGGGAACAGATTGGATTAGTTAGGTAGTGTGGTCTCCTCTCCCGAGATGGGGACTGCAGAGAGTTGGTGATGTTGGGGCAAATTGGCAAGGAAAGTTCCGATGGCGCCCCTTTCTCTACTGCCAGGGCTGCCAACTGACACCCTCCTCATTCCTCCCCAACTTCATCCGCAACTCCAGATATACCCAAGTAGTTTTCGTCTTATTCGGCGGCTGGACATTTGCTAATGGTCCCTGAACTTTTGCGGCTGCGCCTGCAGACAAAAATAGCGACGCGTTCCCTGGAGGGGGCATGCGGCGGAAGCGGAAGAAGCGACTGGCTCCGGCGGCCGGGAGGGCAGGAACGGAAGCGGAAGTGGCGGCGGCGCCGGCTTGGCCTGGCCTCGCTGAGGGGAGGCGGCGGGCGGGCGAGATGGCGGAGGCCGGGCCGCAGGCGCCGCCGCCCCCGGGCACTCCAAGCCGACACGAAAAGAGCCTGGGACTACTCACCACCAAGTTCGTGTCGCTTCTGCAGGAGGCCAAGGACGGCGTGCTTGACCTCAAGCTGGTGCGGCCCGGGCTAAGGGACGACAAGGAGGGGTGGTGGACAAGGCCTGAGCTGGTAGCGGGAACCCCGGGGGCGGCCCGGCCGGGTCCTCCGAGAGCCCACCGCCATCGTGTGCTTTTTCAGAGGAGAGAGGCCGGGGGATATTTCATTCATTCAGCCGAGGCCATTGAGCGACAGCTATGGGCCAGGCTCGGGGCTGCAGGTGTTTGTCCTCGTGGCCCTTCCTGGCTGGCGGGGAGAATAGCTTCAGAACACCAGTTCAGGGCTGTGCGCCAGGTCTCTTCTCACCCTGCGGTCCTGAGCTGCAGTAGCACCTGAGAGGCACTACAGGATTGGAACCCAGGTTACTCCCTTCCCAGACCACGTCTCTGGGTGACTGGGGGTACACCCGAGAGTGGAGCTGATCATTCTCTATTCTGTCTGCCAGGCAGCTGACACCCTAGCTGTACGCCAGAAGCGCCGGATTTATGACATTACCAATGTTTTGGAAGGTATCGGGCTGATCGAGAAAAAGTCCAAGAACAGCATCCAGTGGAAGTGAGTGGGGATAGTGGGAGGGTAGTAGAGTCTCCCACCCAGAAGTGTCAGGGGTGTGGGGTGGAGGATGCGGAAGAAGGCAGGGGCCGTGGGACCCAGAGTTCTCAGCAGTTCCTCTCGGCCCCACTCCCTGGGCTCAGGGGTGTGGGGCCTGGCTGCAATACCCGGGAGATTGCCGACAAGCTGATTGAGCTCAAGGCAGAGATCGAGGAGCTGCAACAGCGGGAGCAAGAACTAGACCAGCACAAGGTGTGGGTGCAGCAGAGCATCCGGAATGTCACAGAGGACGTGCAGAACAGCTGATATCCTCCTGGTGGTCTCTGCTGTGGCGAGTGGGCAAGGGGCCCTCTGGTTCAACTTGCCCTGGGCCCTCTCCCTCTTGGGAGCTTGTCCTGTGGCCCCTGGCCATGTCCCTAGCCTCAGCTCCCTCCTCAGAGCCCCTTCCCTTCCAGTCTTAGCCTGTAATCCCTCCCCGGGTGAACCCCAGTCCCCAGAACTTTCTCTGAGAGCCTATGTGTCAGACCTTGGCTAAAGAGTTGGGTCTTCTCTGTAGTCTGCCGTTTCTCACCATAGGGCATCAGCCATTCTCCTTAACCCTCACACTTTGGCCTACGTCACTCATGAGGACATCTGCAGATGCTTTGCTGGTGAGCAGAGCCTGGGTAGGGACAAGGGGGTGGGCTGGGCTCAGCCAAAGCCCTGAGCACCGGGCTCAGTGTCTCAGGAGAGTTTCGTCTCTCAAGAGGGTTTCTGGTCCTGCTCAGAGAGGACCCAGGCAGGGTAAGTCTTCCGTCTGAGGGGCACTGGGACCCTGTGGAGGTCAGCTATACTGAGAGGGTACAGGAATTCTGGATTGAGTCCCTGGGTTTGTTCTCATCTGCACTGTTACCTGGATTTGGCTTCTTGGGCATGATAGAGGCACAAGGGGGAAGAGGGGGAGAGAGGATATGTGTGTATTTGCTTGTGTGCAGACTCTTACACGCTTGTATGGAGGGTATGGGGGTGCCCACTTCCAATCTGTTATTTAGTTGTATTGTGAATGCAGGATCAGTTCTTTTTTTTTTTTTTTTTTTTTAAAGAGACGAGGTCTTGCTATGTTGCCCAGGCTGGTCTTGAACCCCTGAGCTCAAGCTGTCTAACTGGCTTGACCCCCTAAAGTGCTGGGATTATAGGCCTGAGCCACTGTGCCCCACCGACGTGTTTCTTCTCCATCTTGTATCCCCAAGGCTGGTCATGGGAAAGGGATGTTGGCCTTGGCTAGAACACCTTCACCTAGGGATCAGCCATTGGTGGAGTGAGGTGCCTGTGGCCAGTGATCTTTTACTCCACATACTTGAATTCAGATTTCCTGGTTACTGACCCTCAGAGAAGAGCTTTAGTTCTGCCCAGCCATTGTAGGGGATGGGTGAGACCCACTGACTAGTCCCTCAGAGACCATGATCTCCTGCCTTGCTCCAAAAGGCAGGCACCTCTGTTCCCAGCTCAGATTTAGCCTATGGGCTCTGACCCATTCTCTGTCATTCTAGGGGATACCCTCTTGGCCATCCGGGCCCCATCAGGCACCAGCCTGGAGGTGCCCATCCCAGAGGTGCGTGCTTAGCCTAGGCAGGCGGGGTCAGCTGAGGGCGGGTGCTGGCTGTGGAGTCTGATAAGTCCCGGGTGGGGCAGGTAGGGGGAGGCCTGGAGTTTGGGGTTATCTGGGAGGATGGGCAGCCTGGGTGGGAGAGGATACTGTGGTCTTGACTCAAGAATTGGGCAGGAGTCAGGACCACAAGCCTGCTTCCAATTCTACCCATCTCCCATCCCTTGCCACCCATCTCTAGGGTCTCAATGGGCAGAAGAAGTACCAGATTCACCTGAAGAGTGTTAGTGGCCCCATTGAGGTTCTGCTGGTGAATAAGGAGGCATGGAGCTCACCCCCTGTGGCTGTGCCTGTGCCACCACCTGAAGATCTGCTCCAGAGCCCACCTGCTGTTTCTACGCCTCCACCTCTGTCCAAGCCTGCCCTTGCTCAGTCCCAGGAAGTCTCACGTCCAAATAGTCCTCAGCTCACTCCCACTCCTGTCCCTGGTAGCACAGAAGTCCAGGGGATGGCCAGCCCAGCAGCTGAGATCACAGGTGAGGCACCATGGGAGCTTGTGACGGCAGCCCAAGAGGCAGTAGCTCTGTGTTGTGGAATGCCACACAAAGAGTTGGAAGAGACTCTTCAGGTTAGGGACTGTCCTTTTCCTGACCTTTATCTAGCCTTCCCTTGCTATGGTAACAAATGAGCCTTTTTTTGTTTGTTTGAGATGGAGCCTTGCTGTGTCACCCAGGCTGGAGTGCAATGCCAGGCTGGAGTGCAATGGTCCTGTCTTGGCTCATGCAACCTCCACCTCCTGAGCTCAAGCAGTTCTCCTGCCTTAGCCTCCCAAGTAGCCGGGATTATAGGTGACCACCATCACACCCGGCTAATTCTTGTACTTTTAGTAGAGATGGGGTTTTACCACGTTGGCCAGGCTGGTTTTGAACTCCTGACCTCAAATGATCCACCTACCTTGGCCTCCCAAAGTGCTGGAATTATAGACATGAACCACCAAGCCCACCTGCGTGGGGCTTTTTTTTTTTTTTTAAGATGGAGTCTCGTTCTGTCGCCCAGGCTGGAGTGCAGTGGCATGATCCTGGCTCACTGCAACCTCTGCCTCCTGAGTTCAAGTGATTTTCCTGCCTCAGTCTCCTGAATAGCTGGGATTACAGGTGCATGCCACTATGCCTGGCTAATTGAATGGGCCTTTCTTTTCTTTTTGAGATGGAGTCTTGCTCTGTCACCCAGGCTGGAGTGCAATGGCTCGATCTTGACTTACCACAACCTCCGCCTCCTGGGTTCAAGCGATTCTCCTGCCTCAGCCTCCTGAGTAGCTAGGATTACACACACGTGCCACCATGCCTGGCCAATTTTTTGTATTTTTAGTAGAGATGGGGTTTTACCATGTTGGCCAGGTTGGTCCTGAACTCCTGACCTCATGATCTGCTCACCTCAGCTTCCCAAAGTGCTGGAATTACAGGTGTGAGCCACTGCACCTGGCTGAATGGGACTTTTTTTTTTTTTTTTTTTGAGACGGAGTTTCACTCATGTTACCCAGGCTGGAGTGTAATGGCGCGACCTCGGCCCACCGCAACCTCCGCCTCCTGGGTTCAGGCAATTCTCCTGCCTCAGCCTCCGAGTAGCTGGGATTACAGGCACGCGCCACCATGCCCAGCTGATTTTTTGTGTTTTTAGTAGAGACGGGGTTTCACCATGTTGACCAGGATGGTCTCGATCTCTTGACCTTGTGATTCACCCGCCTCGGCCTCCCAAAGTGCTGGGATTACAGGCTTGAGCCACCGTGAATGGGACTTTTTTAACGGGGAACCTCTGACTGTGGGAAAGGGACATTGCTGGTGGCAGTCCCCCCACCTCCATTGCCCTGGTAGCCCATCTTGAAGTAGGGTCACAGCAGACATGTTGTCGATGAGTCTCTTTCCGTAGGTCTGGTGCCCCTGTCTCCTATAGCGACTGATTTCCAGGTTGCCTCCTCTGGGGCAACTGGCAATGCCTAATTCTCCATGAGTCTGAGAACCAGGCTTGTGGTCCTCCTGGCTGTGGGGCCAGCCAGGTTCAATAACCTCTTCCTGACCTTGTGTGACTGGGTTCAGGGGCTGTTGTTGCAGTGAGTGGCGGCCCTGGAACTGATAGCAAAGACAGTGCTGAGCTCAGTTCACTCCCACTGGGCCTGACAGCACTGGACACCCGGCCACTGCAGTCTTCTGCCTTGCTGGACAGCAGCAGCAGCAGTAGCAGTAACAGCAGCAGCAGTAGCAGTAACAGCAGCAGTTCATCTGGACCCAATCCTTCTACCTCCTTTGAGCCCATCAAGGCAGACCCCACAGGCGGTGAGTACCTGCCTCCCAGGGGCAGAGAGAGTCCAGTCTCAGTCCAGTCCTAGGTCAGAAACACAACTGGGGATGGAACCTAGCTCTGCTGTCAACCTTGCCGGACCAGAACTCTCTGCCAGCACCTCTGGGGCAGTGCTGATGTCCTCTCTAGCACCCTGTCCTGGGCTAGCACAGAACTCCCTGCCCTCTCTTCAGCCCTTCCTGCCACCGCTTGGAGCACCATTCTCGTTTCACTAATTGACACTTCTCTCTATCACTTTCTTTCATCTTCTCTGTCTCTTTTCTCTCTGCACTCCTTGAAAAAGCAATCTTCATTCCACATCTTGATCTCCTAGTCACCTTTCAGGTTGTAGCAGTCACTCTGTAGTCCCAGTGTTATAGCAGTGCCACCTTTTTATTTATTTATTTATTTATTTATTTATTTATTTTTGAGATGGAGTTTCGCTCTTGTTGCCCAGGCTATAGGGCAATGGTGTGACCTCGGCTCACTGCAACCTCCGCCTCCTGGGTTCAAGCAATTCTCCTGCCTCAGCCTCCTGAGTAGCTGGGATTATAGGCATGCGTCACCACACCCAGCTAATTTTGTATTTTTAGTAAAGATGGGATTTCTTGATTTTGGTCAGGCTGGTCTTGAACTCTTGACCTCAGACCCACCTCATAGGTGTGAGCCACCACACCCAGCCAGTGGTGTCACTTGAGAAGCTGCCGAAGGCTTACCAAGTCCAGCAGCCCTCCAGCGTGTTTTGCCTGGTGCTCTCTTGGTCCATGTCAATGTTCTTTTTTCCTTAGGCTTTAATTATGTCAGCTCTTGGCTCTCCTACCTCACTGGCTTCTTGTTGAACTCTTCCTGGCACATCCTTAAACATAGGCGCTTTCGAGGGCTCTGTCCCATTCCACTCCCGGAGAGGGCTGCAGCTCTGGGTGAATGAATCCCCAACCACTGCCTGGCCTAGATCTTTTCCCAGTCTGCACACTTTGGTGTCCAGCTGCCATCCATTGTACGTCCAATGGACACTTTATTCCCGCCTGTCCTTGACTGAACTCAGTTTCCTTCTGAAGCTTGCTTTCCACCTCTGCGCACCCTACCGTTGGCTCTAGTTGTTCAGGCTTGACCCTTGGCTCTCTAATTCCATCTCCTTCTCCCTCCTCCTTCTGCTGCTTGCCCCATGTCAGCTCAGCAAGGTCTGTCCCAGATGTCCCCTCCTATTCTCTGGTATCCTCAGCACTCAGGACAACCCCTAGCCACCTCTGTTCTGGATTCTTCAGGATCTTTCTCTTTACCCTGACAGAATGATCTTTCTGAAATGCAGGCCTGACAGAGAAATGTGGCATTTCTGTGTTTGCAAAAGTACCTTTAATGGCTCCTTGAGGGCCACCAGATAAGATCTGAGCTCCTGAGCCTGGCATGTGAAATCCCTCATGGTCCTCTCTAGTTGCATTTTCTTCTGCTTCCCCTGTGTCCAGGGGACTTCACTACAAATCCCCTGGCCAGAGATTTGTAATGATGTCATCACCCTGTAGCACCACCACCTCTGCTGGCTGACCTGACACAAGGTCTGGTCTCTGAGTCTTGCACAGATCAGGTGCTCAGCAAGGATGGGACAAATGGAGTATCTTCTATCAGATAGGGTGTACATGCTGAGCCCAGAAAGGGAAGGGAGTCTGTTGCTTTTCTGTGTCCTTTCCGATTAGAAAAGCTGTACCAATCACTTGCAGTGGGCCTTTGATACCCTGGACTCAGCACTAAGGAATTCCAGTTTAGCAAGTGAGGCCAACAGTGCCAGGTTGGCCTAGGCAGGGACTACGTCTCCTCAGCTGTGTGGAGCCTCAGGGTGGGTGGCGTAGGATCCGAGGAAGGCAGGGGGATGTAGTGGGACCAAGCTGGACCTCTGTGCCCTGAGTATGGCTTTCTTGTTTTTCAGTTTTGGAACTCCCCAAAGAGCTGTCAGAAATCTTTGATCCCACACGAGGTAGGCTGCTGCATTCCTCCCTGGGGCTAGGGGTAAAGGACACAGCTCGTTGGGTCCTACGGCTGTTTTTTTGCCCTTTTGAGGACCTTGTGGTGGTGCTTATGATAACTGGGGCAAAGGGTGAAGTTCCTGATAGGCGGGTGGGGTTTCCTTTCCTGGGCTTTGGTGGGTGGAGAGGTGGGAACTGGAATGTTAGTAACTGAGCTCTCTCCATTCCCAGAGTGCATGAGCTCAGAGCTGCTGGAGGAGTTGATGTCCTCAGAAGGTGGGTGGCCCTGGAAAGTGGGAGTGGGTATGGGCTGGGGTTGGGCTGCTGCTCGGGGGGGGGCCCTGGCCTAGGCCTGAGCCTAGTGTTCTCTGCAGTGTTTGCCCCCCTGCTCCGTCTTTCTCCACCCCCGGGAGACCACGATTACATCTACAACCTGGATGAGAGTGAAGGTGTCTGTGACCTCTTTGATGTGCCTGTTCTCAACCTCTGATTGACAGGGACATGCCCTGTGTGGCTGGGACCCAGACTGACTTGGGGGTTGCCTGGGGACCTCCCCAACCTGACCCCTACACAGCTTGAGAGCCACAGACACCTGGCTTCTCCAGCCTCCCCTCACTGCACAGTTCTGGCCACAGCTCCCGCTCCTACGCTGGCACTTCTACTGTGCTCGCAGAGCAGGGGAATGGAGCTCAGCCCCCACCACTGTGGAGCCAAAGTGTTTGCTTCTCCTTTTCTGTGGCCTTCCCAAGCCCAGGCTCAGCTGCCACCCAGTGGCAAGTGGCACAGAACTGAAGAGCTGTCATCGCCACCCCCCTCCCCCCCATCCCCGTAGGGCAGCTTGTCCAGCCTATCTTGCTCACGTGCCAGCTCCTTCCCCTAGGAGGGAAGGGTTGGGTGGAGCTGGGCACATGCCAGCACCATCCCTAGCTTCTTTCACTGTCTCCTACCCCTGACCCTCCAGCACCTCCTGGCCCTCTCACGTGCCCCCTTCTGGGCCTTTAGCCCTAGAACCTGCAGGTGGTGGGGGTGGCTACAAAGAAGGAACAGAGGTCTCTGGTGAGGAGTCTGGGTGGTCCAGCCCTGAGGATTGGCTGGACCTCCTGCTGCCCCATAACCTCCTCTTCATTTCTGCTTATTCATTTACCCTCATTTAGAGCCATTTGCGGAGATTTAGAAAGATTTACAGTAACGAATGGATTCCTATATAAAGATTATTTTTATACTTTTTGCAGCAAAAGGAAATTGTAATATTTGTACAGTGTTCAAGTGAATAAAAACCATGCCTAAGGCTAGCTCTGATGTGGTTCTTTTGGGACTCCTTAGGACTGTGGATTGGCGGTGGGACTGGGTGGGTCATCTTGCTGGAACTGGAGGTGGGAAGGCCTCCAGCAGCCTACCCTCCCCGGCCCAGCCTGACGCACCTTGGTATAGGGCGCGGCCACCTCCGCGGGGCGTGGCAGACGGAGCCGTCCTACCTTCCTACCCCACCCCCTCCCACTCCAACCCGGAACTCGCCTCGCTCCTTTGGGAAGGCCGCGTTGCCCGGCCTTGAGCCGCAGCCTGGGCCGTGATTGCGGGACACCGGGGTCAGGTATCGGAAAGGAGGACGAGCTTCTCGTCCCCAGACCAGGTGCGCCCTCGGCCGCAGGTGCACGGTCTACGGAAAGTGCGGGCACCCACACCTCGGCTGGACCATGGCGCCTCCGCGGAACGTGGTGAAGATTGCTGTCCAGATGCGTGACGCCATCCCGCAGCTCATCCAGCTGGACCAGGTCACCCGGCCGGTCCCGCCTCTATCTGCCCCGCCGTCCCACCTCCCCGTCGCCCCCTGGCCCTCAGGGCCGTCCACCCCACCCTTCCTCCCAGGCTCCTCCCCATTCCTCCCTGCCCCCCCCCCATTCCTCCCTGCCCTGGCCGCCGGAGTGACCGCTCCACTTGCAGGCGAAGCCCCTGGCCGCTGTGCTTAAGGAGGTGTGCGACGCGTGAGTACTGCCGGCCCAGGGCCTGCGAAGGGCGGTAGGGCAGGAGGGGTGGCGCCCCCTGCTGGCCTCGCTGAGTCTCGTGCCCCGCAGGTGGAGCCTGACGCACTCTGAGCACTATGCCCTGCAGTTTGCGGATGGGCACAGGAGATACATCACTGAAAATGTGAGTTCCCTCTCCCTCCGCCCTCCGACCCCTCTAACCCACCTGGCCCTGATGTTTCTGGCTCTTCATCCCACTAGTGGAATGTGATCTTTTGCTGACCCCAGCCGCCCTGACACCCCAGTTGATCAGTCCTCGGAGCCCTCCCTGACCTCGCTGCTTTTTCTGCTGTCTTCTCCAGAACCGCGTGGAGATCAAGAATGGCAGCATCCTGTGCCTCAGCACCGCCCCAGTACTGTCCCTCCCCGCCAGTCCTCCCCTTCCCTGCCCCTCTGCCCCAGGTCCACAGGCCCCCATCCCAGCCCCATCTCATACCACCTAGTGGACACCCAGGGCCGCACACTTCCAGGTCCCACCCTTACCTTGCCCAGCCTCTTCACTGCTGCTCCTGCTCCGCCCCTGCCAGGATCTTGAGGCTGAGCAGCTGTTGGGTGGGCTGCAGAGTGAGAGTCGTGAAGGGCGCCGGGAAGCCCTGAGGTGCCTCATCCCGCTGGCCTCGGACATGACCTTTGCCAGGGAGGTCATCAGCCGTAATGGTCTCGAGAGACTAGGCACCATCATTGAGGATGGGGACGAGTGAGCACAGGGATGTGTGGGCTGGGGGAGATGGTGGGGCTTTCTGGTCCTGGTCTGGTCCTGCTTAGCCCCAGATGTCACCCCCAGTCTAGGGGAGGTGTTGGCCCTCAGCCTGAGGGCCTTCTCGGAGCTCATGGAGCACGGCGTGGTGTCCTGGGAGACGCTGACCATCCCCTTTGTGAGGAAGGTGGGTGAGCTTTCATAGGACAGCAGGTGGGAGCAGTGGGGCAGTGGTAGACCCAGCCTTCCATGGGGGTGAGGTGGTGACACCCCTGCCCCTTACAGGTGGTGTGCTATGTGAACATGAACCTCATGGATGCCTCCGTGCCGCCCCTGGCCCTTGGGCTGCTGGAGAGTGTGACCTTGAGCAGCCCAGTCCTGGGCCAGCTGGTCAAGAGCGAGGTGCCCCTGGATAGGCTACTGGTGCACCTACAGGTGTAAGCCTCTGGGACTGGGGTCCAGATGCGGGGAGCAGGGCTGGACCCTAAATGTTCTGCTGAGCCCTCTTCTTGCCATAGGATGAACCAGCAGCTGCAAACCAAGGCCATGGCCCTGCTGACAGCCTTGCTGCAGGGGGCCAGCCCTGTGGAACGCAAGGTGAGTGTTGATCGGTGGCTGGATGGGGGCAGCACCCGGTGGGCACTGCCCACCCTGGGGAGAAATCATCTAAGTCCTCTTTCCATCCCCTCAGCACATGCTTGACTACCTCTGGCAGAAAAACCTTCGCCAGTTCATCTACAAGGTAGGAAGTGGTGGGCCAGGGAGACTACTCCACTCCTCCCCCCCATGAGTCCTCACTCACACCAGAGACTGGCTCTCCTACAGAACATCATCCACAGTGCGGTACCAATGGGTGATGAGATGGCTCATCACCTGTACGTACTGCAGTCCCTCACGCTGGGGCTGCTGGAGGTGCGCATGCGGACACCCCTGGACCCCTACAGCCAGGTACGTCTTTGGTGAGGACAAGGCAGGGGGTGGCTTGGAGCTTGGCCTTGAATCTATAATCATGATCCCCTCCCCAACCACCTGCACTGACCCCAGGAGCAGCGGGAGCAGCTGCAGGTTCTACGCCAGGCTGCCTTTGAGGCAGAGGGGGAGTCTTTGGGCGCTGGGCTGAGTGCTGACCGGCGACGTTCCCTCTGTGCCCGAGAGTTCCGCAAACTAGGCTTCTCTGTGAGTGTCTCCCTACCTAACTCCCCACCCCTGCCTCAGCCCAGGGCTGTTGCTCTAGGGGGCTGTGGCCCTTCTTGAACAGCCTGTGCCCCCTTCACCCAGAACAGCAACCCAGCACAGGACCTGGAACGCGTGCCCCCTGGTCTGCTGGCCCTGGACAACATGTTGTACTTCTCCAGAAATTCACCTAGCGCGTACAGCCGGGTCGGTGACAGGGCAGAGAGTGGCAGCATCCCCCAGGCAGGGTCCCCATGGGCTTAGCCATGACTCCTCGCCCCATTCTCTGCCCCTGCCAGTTTGTGTTGGAGAACAGCAGCCGCGAGGACAAGCACGAGTGCCCCTTTGCCCGGGGCAGCATCCAGCTGACGGTGCTGCTGTGTGAACTGCTGCACGTTGGGGAGCCCTGTGAGTGGCCTGGACAGGGCACAGTGTGGCCAGGGGCAGGGGACGGAAGGGCAGAGAGGGCCAGGGGCTGCATGCACTTTCTCCCTGAGCCCCTCCTGCCCCCCCGCTCCAGGCTCCGAGACAGCCCAAGACTTCTCACCCATGTTCTTTGGCCAAGACCAGAGCTTCCATGAGCTCTTCTGTGTGGGCATCCAGCTGCTGAATAAGACCTGGAAGGAAATGCGGGCTACACAGGAGGACTTCGACAAGGTAGGTGGGGTGGGAGCTGGGAGTCCTGGGCCAGGGCAAGGGGTTGATCTGGGTACAGAGCTCAGGCCCTGAGCTGAGCTCGGGTGGCCCCAGGTCATGCAGGTGGTGCGGGAGCAGCTGGCCCGAACGCTGGCCTTGAAGCCCACCTCCCTGGAGCTCTTCCGAACCAAGGTGAATGCACTCACTTATGGGGAGGTGCTGCGGCTGCGGCAGTCTGAACGGCTGCACCAGGAGGGCACGCTGGCTCCCCCTATACTGTGAGTTCGGGGTGATGGATCCCCACTCCTAGCCCCACCTTCCCTGGTGCCCCCTGGGCTACGCCCCAGGTCGGATGTGCTCAGTGACACCCCTCTACCAGGGAGCTGCGGGAGAAGCTGAAGCCAGAGCTCATGGGCCTGATCCGCCAGCAGCGCTTGCTCCGCCTCTGTGAGGGGACACTGTTCCGCAAGATCAGCAGCCGGCGGCGCCAGGGTCTCTGAGTGGGCAAGCGCTGGGATCGGGTGGTAGGCAGTGGGCAGAGGGTGGCTGGCTTTGGGTCAGGACCTCTCAGTGCTCCGGCCCTCTTCCCTTTCTCCACATAGACAAGCTGTGGTTCTGCTGCCTATCCCACAATCACAAGGTGCTGCAGTATGGAGACATGGAGGAGGGCACCAGCCCGCCTGCCCTGGAGAGTCTGCCTGAGCAACGTAAGGCGGGCACGGGTGGGAGCCCAACACCTGCTCTCCCCAGACCACCCTGAGCCCTGGGGCTGCCTGGGCCACAGTGCTCAGCCCAGCCTTCTTCCTACAGTCCCTGTGGCCGACATGAGGGCGCTCCTGACAGGCAAGGACTGCCCCCATGTCCGGGAGAAGGGCTCTGGGAAGCAGAATAAGGTGGGTGCAGCAGGCCAGGGGGCTCCTTCCTGCCCGCCCCTGCCTGCCCTGTCCTCTGCTGAGTGTCCCTCTCCCTTGCTTCCCCAGGACCTCTATGAGTTGGCCTTCTCGGTCAGCTATGACCACGGGGAGGAGGAGGCATACCTCAACTTCATTGCCCCCTCCAAGCGGGAGGTGAGTGTCCATCAGGCTGAGGTTGGCAGGTGGGCAGGGGAAGCAGATGGGCAGGCCCTCACAGCTCTGTGTTGTCCCCAGTTCTACCTGTGGACGGATGGGCTGAACGCCCTGCTGGGCAGTCCCATGGGCAGTGAGCAGACACGGCTGGACCTGGAGCAGTTGCTGAGCATGGAGACCAAGCTGCGTCTGTTGGAGCTGGAGAATGTGCCCATCCCCGAGCGGCCGCCCCCTGTGCCCCCACCCCCCACCAACTTCAACTTCTGCTATGACTGCAGCATCGCTGAACCTTGACAGTGTGGCTGGCCACGAGCCACAGCTGCAGCCACTGCGGCAGCCATGAAGGGTGGAGGGTAGAGGAGTGATGCACCCTGACCAGCAGGTTTGCTGCAGAAATAAAGTCTGCTTGGCTCTTGGGCTATGTTGAGCCAGCTCTGAACCTTGTGGGCTGAGCCTGTGACAGTGACAGTCTTCCCCTTCTACCTTCAAACTTAGCTGGTGGATAAGATGGGGCATCAGGCCCAGGCCACAAACTTCGACAGTTACAGTTGAGGTGCTGATGTTCTGAAGGGGGTGGGGACAGGCTGGGACCACTGCCCTCCTCCAAGATGAATCCTCAGCTTCCCTCCATGCTGGGCCTGTGGGAAGGGCTGGCCTGTGGTCTGAGGGCACCTGCCAAGGGAGAGCTGGGCTGCCGGCCTGCTGAGGGAGAAGTGGCAGGGCAGGAGGCACTGCCCCAATAGACGCCTTCCTGCACAGCGTTAACAGTGGCCTAGTCTGGGAGCCATCTCCAGAAGGCTCCTGACAGTCTGACCCCAGTCCTCAAGCTTGCATGGCTCTGCCTGGTGTCCTTTGTGAGACTTGGAGGTCTCTGGTGAGAGGCATGAAGGGAGAGAGGTGAAGCCAGGCCTACTTTCTGCAGAAGGGCAGGGTCAAGATTCCCAAGGGCATCCCCAGGCCAGTGGGAGGATGTGGGCTGATTCTGACAAGAGCTATTTCTGTGCAGGAAGCCCTGCTTCTGATTAAAACCTAACTCAGGGCTGGGCTTGGTGGCTCACGCCTGTAATTCCAGCACTGTGGGAGGCCAAGGCAGGCAGATCACCTGAGGTCAGGAGTTGGAGACCAGCCTGGCCAACACGGTGAAACCCCGTCACTACTAAAAACACAAAAATTAGCCAGGTATGGTGGCTCACACCTGTAATCCCAGCTAGTTGGGAGGCTGACGCATGAGAAATGCCTGAACCCAGAGGCTGAGGTTGCATTGAGCTGAGATCATACCACTGCATTCCAGCCTGGGCAATAGAACAAGACTCCATCTAAAAAAAAAAAAAAAAAAAAGACCTATCTCAGAGCCATGGGTGGGGTGGGGGCCATAGACAGGCCAGAGTCCCTGGGGGCAGAAGCAGGTTTGGTCACAGAGGCAGAGGCTGTGGTCACAGACCCCATGCCCTTGAGGAAAGAAGAGCTCATCAGTCCGTGGAGCTCACAGGGCAGGCTGAAGCCACTGCCCCTCAGACTTCTCCCTGCCACTCACCTCTTCTCTTCCTAATGCCTCTAATATCATTTTTTGTTTTTGTTTTTTGAGATGGAGTTTCGCTCTTGTTGCCCAGGCTGGAGTGCAATGGCACAATCTCGGCTCACTGCAACCTCCGCCTCCCAGGTTCAAACCATTCTCCTGCCTCAACCTCCCAAGTACCTGGGATTACAGGCGTGTGCCACCATGCCCAGCTAATTTTTTGTATTTAGTAGAGATGGGATTTCTCCATGTTGGTCAGGCTGGTCTCTAACTCCTGAGCTCAGGTGATCCACCTGCCTCAGCCTCCCAAAGTGCTAGGATTACGGCTCCAATACTGCTTTTAACCATCAACCTGGCTGACTGTGAGAACTGATGAGATGGCATTTCCTTTGGAGAATGTGCCAGAGGGCACTTGCTCCCCCTTCCTCATCTAAGCTTCAGCTCCTTGGGCATCCAGGGCCCACCATACCCATGCCTAAGGACTTCCCACCACACTTGGAGTGGTCGGCCTTGAGTTCTAGGTAGAAATGGGAGGCAGGGATCCCCGATGCTGTCAGCCTCCCTGCAACTGTCAATTCTTCCTTCCTAATGTCTCCAGTCCCTTGTGCATGCCACCATCATAGTAACAGCCTCCTGACTTCCGGCCTCCCATCTTGCCCCTCCAACCCTCTTAACACCAGCTATCCCAACTGCTTTCTCCAAAATAAGTCTTATCATACATACACAAACATCCCATATATTCCATATGTCCCTATCCGTGTCCATGGGTTAATGGCTACAGTTTCCATGACTAAGCCTGAGTTGAGCCAGATGAGTCGTAGACATGCTGCGGTTTAGCCCTTCCACCTGAGCACCTGTGGCTTGCAGGGTTCTTGGTGCTTGGTCCAAGCTGGCATCCTCCCTGCTTAGACCACCCCCTCAGTGCCAGCTCTGGCCTGCTCGGGTGTACCCTCACAGTGCCTTCTGTCTGGATCACCCTCTTCCTCCCTTCTCTCCAGTTTCACTGCCTGATTCCTTTCTGGACCCTCCAAGCCCAATTTGTTGCTCCCTGGGCTCTGGTCCCAGGTGCTTGTCCCTCTTCACACATGCTCTGCACGCTGGACTGTCCCTGCTAGCTGGCTTCTCTGCCTCCCCAGCTGGCTCTGTGCTAGGAGAGCTTTGGCTCCTCTGAATCCCCACATAACGCACAGTCCCTGCAGGCGCTAGGGGATTCCTGGCTCGCTGCTAGAACCAGTGACCAGGGATATGGATGAGGTGTGGGGACACCAAGCCCTTGGGGAAAGAGGAGCCCATTGGTCCCCAAAGCTGCCATGGAGAAGTCACCAGCACTATTGAGGAGCCTGAATTAGGTGACCTCTAGTGACCCTCTCACCCAGAGATGCTGGCCTCTTTCATTCTCTTCCTCTTATTTCCCCCTCAGGACAGCCTCACTGACTCAAGCATTATTCATCAGTTGTTCCTGGAGTCTGGCTGGGACAAGCACACAGTGTGTGCCTTTATTGCAGGGCACACCCAGGCCTGCGGGGTCTCCTACCACGTGGAGAAGCTGCTAGGACCTGGCTGTGTCAGGCCAGGGTGGGAGCCCCTGTGGGACTGTGGGCCAAGCCTGAGGAAGGAGCGTGCCTGGGATGCTCTTGCCTGCTCCAGGGCCACTTCAGCTGAAGTGGGGAGGAGAGGGGCCCTTTAGTCTGAGAACCTAAGACAAGGTACTATCTGGAATGTTTAATCTTAGGGTTTACAACACAGACCTGGGCTCAGCTGCTGAAGCTCAGTGCACACTGGGGTGGGGCGGGGAAGAGTCCCACAGGAATAGGTGGAGCCAGGCCTTAGGTCTGAGAAGAGGGCAGGCAAGAGACATAGGGTCTGCTCCTCCTAGGACCAGACCCCACCCGCTGAGGGCCCGGCCTCCCAACCAGGGCCTGGCCAGAGAGCGGGAGCCTGTGGCAGCAACGTGTGGCTGGAAAGAGGCTGCTGCCAGGCTGTGCGGCAGAAAGTTCCCTGTGCTGCCCTGGATTGGCCCCACCCCCAGTCCTCAACGGAGGCAACCCGGGTCAAGGCCGGGGTTGGGGACAGGGGGAGTCAAGGAGGCTGAGCTGCAGGGCTAGTTACTCAGAGTGTTAGGGTCAGGTCAGCCCCTCCCACAAAGCGGGACTGGACGCAGGACACCTGGGGCATCTGGGCCTGGAAGCGCCTGACAGCGGCCATGTTGATGCCAGGACACATGGCCACATCCAACACCCGGAGCCGCCTGCACGCCTGTCCAATGGCATCCAGTGTCCTGTGGGGAGGCCACCAGATGAGTGCCTGGCCTGCCGTGGGACCCAGCCCAGCCCCTGCACCATGGCTCCATCTGCCCAGTGTCATTGGACACACTCACTGCTCTGTGAGCTGACTGCAGCTGGACAGGTTGAGGTGCTGCAGCCTTGGCCAGGAGCTGGCTGCCTGGGCCCAGCCCTCGTCACTGAGGCGGCTGCAGTGACTCAGTACCAGGCGCTCCAGGCTGGGACAGCCCCTGGCCACAGCCACCAAGCCCTTGTCTGTGAGTGCTGGCAACAGGCTCAGGGACAACTGCTTCAGTTGGGGGAACTGGAGCACCTGCGAGGATGCGGGGGATGGGTAAATCCCACTGGAGCCCAGAGCCTTGGCCCTTCCAGATCCTCCCACCCCAGCCAGGGCATGACCAGAGGCAGCAGAAGCCAATGAAAAAGGAACTCCCAGGTCAACTTTTTTCCAAGCAAAAAGTGGTTTGTCCCAGGCCCCTGACTTTAGCTCTAAGATCCTCAGCCTACTCACAGCCCCAGCCCCACACCTTGGCTAAACTGGCATCAGTCAGCTTGCTGCAGGCTGTGAAGTCCAACTCCTGCAGGGCCCGCAGCATGAGCAGGGAGGGGCCCTGTGGCTCGGGATTGGGGTCCTTGGTGCCTGAGGCCTGATGCTCCAGCTCTGCATGTGGCTGTGGGAAGAAGCCCCTGCTTCTCAGGTTCTACCTGAGTTTGCCCTTAAATGCTCCTACAGAGAGACTTGGGAGGGGCAGGAGGGCAGCTGAGCCCAGGGGCCACCCCACCCTCCAAGACCTCAAGGGTCCCGCACCTGGGTCCCGTGCAACGGCTCCCCCAGTCCCAGAAGCCCCCAGTCACAGAGCTCCTTGCACCAAGCCAGGCGCAGGACTGAGAGGTGGGTGAGGTGCGTGAAGATGGCCTGCAGGGTCTGGTTGGTGAGGGCCACACAGGAGGACAAGTCTAGCACCCTGAGGCTTGGGCCCAGCGCTGGGATCATGGAGAGCACTGAGGCATCCTAGGAGGGAGGGAGGGAGGAGACAGGATGGAGCGGCAGCTAGTGCCTATGACACCTGGCCTTGCACTGGTAGCTAGGAAGGGTCTGTCCAAGGCTCCCAACCCACAGGCAGGAGGGAGCTACCAGAGGGTCCCAGGAAGGAAGCAACATGGCCCCCATGCTGGTGGTGAAAGGTGGGCATAGAAAGGGTAGTAGACAGGGAGTAGCCATGGGGGTTGCCACAGGGAAAAGACCTGGACTATGGCTGGGGCAGGAAGCATACAGGTGGCAAGGTCTAGGGTGACCACCCTGCCTATGCTCCCAGCCCCTGCCAAAGGAGTGGATGAGGCCGCCTCAGACCACAGCTCACTAGACCAGCCAGTTGACTCTGCTGAGCCAATCAAGGTGGAACTGCCAGCTGCCAGGGCAGTTAGGGAAGGGGAGCAGGAGCTGGAGGCTAGTTTGTAGAGGGATACACAGAGGGGCGCTTCGAAGACACAAGAACGTGAGGCCTGGAGGCAGCAGCTGAGACATGCTTGGTGGCAACGGGAGGGAGTGGAGCCGGGAAGAGAGGTGCTTGGAGACGAACAAGATGGAGGGACGGTTTTATGTTGAGAATGTCCTGGTCAAATGGACAGGTTGAAGAAATAATCCACTAAAGAGGGATGGACTGACACTACCAAGATAGGGACGCCACCCAGAGGGACAGCGCTGAGCCCTGCTGAAGGGCCTGGAAATGACCCTGCTGCTCCGGTCATTTCCTTGGCCAGGAAATGACCCTGCTGCTCCTGTCGCATCACCCTGCAGGGCCCACTCCAGCGCCTTCCTCAGTGCTCCTTCCCTGCCTTCCTTGCCCATCACCCCCTTTCTTCAGCCCTCCTAGCTCCAGAACACTCGTCCTCAGCACTCCTCCCCAGACACAGCCGTCGCCACGCACTTGGCACGTGAGCTGTTGGCTGCCTCATGTGGGCTGGGCCACCCTGGCTGCTTAGACCTCCTAGGCCCAGAATGGGGGCTTTGGGGAGGTGTCCTGGCAGCAGCAGCTGTCTAAGCTCCTGTCCTCCTCCACATTGGGTCCCAAGTTCATTTCCAACTGCCAATTGTGGGCATGAACACTGGGGAGTCCTCCCTGGTGCCACAGGCTGCCCACTACCCCCACCACCCCAGTTCCCCCTCCCGCCATCCCCAGCCCTGGAAAGGAAGGAAGGGCATGATGGTGTGCTCACCTTCAGCGAAGAGCAGTGGGCCAGGCTCAGGGAGGCCAGCTGTGGTGGAGCCCCATGCACGGAGCCCAGGGCCCGGGCCAGTTCCCACCCTCTCACCAGGCAGCATTCGGCCATGTCGAGGCTCTGCAGCTCCCGCAGGCCACCCAGGGCTGTACATCCTACATCTGTCAGCCGCTGCAGCTTCCCCAGGCTCAGGTGCCGCAGGTGCCGCAGGCCCCGGCTCACAGCCAAGAGTGCCCCATCAGTCAGTTCTGAGCAGCCGCTGAGGTCCAGGGAGGTAAGGCCTGGTTGCTGGAGGCACAGGGTGGCCACAGCCTCCGTGGAGAGGTTCCGGCAGCTTTGCAGGCTCAGCTCCTGCAGTTGCAGCCCAGCTACCTGGCCCAGGGCCCGAAGGGCCTCAGGTGGCAAGCCAGTGCCACTCAAGTCCAGGGCATGCAGCCTGCCAGCCCGCTCCTGCACAAATCGCAGCAGGTTGCGGAAGGAGAACTGAGAGGGAGAGGAGTCCTGGGGGCTGATGCATCCTCGGGCTGGGTCTGGCTCAAAGGTGAGGTGGCAGTAGGCCAAGGAGAGGCGCTCCAGACTGGGGGCACAGCTGCTGAGCCGGTTGAAGCTGAGGTCAGCTAGGTCCCGCAGGCCAGCCAGGTTGAGCTCATGGAGGCCACTCAAGGTCTGCCGGATGCTGTGTGCCGTCTCGGGCTGAGCCAGCAGTGTGCCCGAGATGAAGAGGCTATTGCAGCCACTGAGGTCAAGGATACGCAGGGTCGGGCAGCCCAGGATCAGGTCTACAAAGGCGGCCTCTGTGGGGCTGCCCCCACCCAGGGACAAGCTCTGCAGGTGCGGGCCCAGATGGTAGGCAACAGATTGTAGCACCTGGTGTGAAGCTGGAGAGCCATCCAGGTTGGTCAGGCTGATGCAGCAGATGCTCTTGAAGCCCAGGCTCTTGATGGTCGAGAGGGAGGCAGAGGACACGGGGATGTTGTATCGCACGTCTCTCTACAGAGCAGCAGCAGGCCTGGGGTAGCCCTCTGGCTTCAGAGGGTGCTGGGCATTGGGTTTGGTGACAAGTCACTGGCCAGAGGTTGGGGGCAGTTCAGGGAAGGGCCCTTCCACAATGCGGACCCACCATGGTGTGTGGTATCATGTGTGGTCAAGTGGGGTGCGGGTAGGAAGTGGGAGCTGGGGTTCAAAGGAGATGGCCATCAGAGGACGATGGGAAGGTTAGTGATGAACAGGATGGGATGCCAAGGGAGGGGCAGGGACAGAGTGGGGAGTTGGCATGTTGAGCACAGGAGGGCTGAGATAGGACCTCAGAAGGTCTTCCTAGAGGAAGCCCAGTGAAGTCCCCAGGGCGTGGGAGGGCAAAGCATGCTGGACCCCAACCTTTAGGACTTTCAGAAGGAGGCCCTGAGATCCATGGACTCAGCCTCCTACTCCAGGGATTTGGCATAAGCTAAGCAGCCAGCCTCTCCCACTTTCCAGAGAGCATAGCCTTCCGAACAGTGGAAGGCGGGAGAAGTGAGGTAGGTGTCACTCACCACCCTCTATGGCCCAGGTGCCAGAGGTCTGGGGCAGGCAGTTAGGCCTAAGTCCCCTGGTGGTCTCTGAGAGTCTGTCACATGAATGTTTGCAAAAATGTGTTCTGTGTGTAAGAAAAAAATGTGTGTGTGTACAAATGTGTACGTGCGTGTGTGTGTGTGTGCATGTGCATGTTTGTGTGTGCATGAACATGTGGTGCTGCCTGATATTGGGCCCTGGATGATCTAGAGTTCAAGATGTGTGATCCCTGCGGCACATATCCAGAGGGGACATATATGTCAAGGTAAGGATGCTGAAGCCTTCCATTTCTGTGGGTGGGAGCTAACAGGACACACCTCACCCTTCCCAAGGAAGTTGAGCTGGCTTTGAGTAGAGGAACAGGGGCATGAGAATGGAGAGTGCACAGCTGGAGTCAGGTGGGACCCAAGAGAAAAACTCAAGGCTACATGGTGGGAATAAGTTGGCTTGTGCAGGCATTTAGAAGCTCGGAGCTAAGGAGATATCTTTAAAGAACTTTTCCTGATATTGCAGTGGAGTGAGCCAAAGGGAAATCGGTATGTGTGGAACAGATCTTTGGGGAGAGGGAGAAGAGGGCTGGCTTCTAAAATCCTTGCCCCATCTCCCTACCTCTTGTCCAGGTTGCAGGCATGTGGTACTCAAAGAAGCCTCCTGTTTGAATCAACATGCAAGAAAGGAAGCTCCCCTAAACCTGTCTTGTCAGTAACTGCAAAAACAAGCTGCCATTCCTGTTAGTACCCACAGACCATCATAAAAAGGGAATCTAAGCCAGGCATAGTGGTGCATGCCTGTAATCCCAGCACTTTGGGAGACTGAGGCAGGTGGATCACTTGAGGGCAGGAGTTTGAGACCAGTCTGGCCAACATGGTGAAATCCCATCTCTACTAAAAATACAGAAATTAGCTGGGTGTGGTGATGCATGCTTGTTATTCCAGCTACTTGGGAGGCTGAAGCAGGAGGATCACTTGAATGTGGGAGGAGGAGGTTGCAGTGAGCCGAGATTGCACTGCTACACTCCTGCCTGGGCAACAGAGCAAGACTTCATCTCAAAAACAAAAACAAAAATGGAATGCAAAAGGTAGAAGTTGACTCACAGGATGTGTTCCTGCAAGATACTTATCAACAGGATTCTCCCAGGAGGCACAGGACTCATTCCCAGGTGTGGAGAAACCAGTCTGGCAGAGATAAGCGGCACCCATGGCTGTCATGACGGGAAGGAGCAGTGTAAGAGAAAGAAACCAGCTCCTGGCCTCTTTCACAGGAACCAGGGGTTAGCCATGTTCCCCTTCCAGCCCCTACTTCTGGAACACGGTCATTCCAGATGAGAGGGGCACTCACCACAGGTCCAATCGTGGGCAGTGGGTCGGGGGTCTCAGGTGAAAGGGGGACTGGGAAGATCTCAGTGTGTGAAGATGAAGAGGGTGATGAAAGACCAGAGAGGAATGGAGGCCATGCCTTCAGCCATTCCCAAGCCCTGTAAGCTAGACAACTCCATTGGATGGAGATGAGAGGAAGCTGTGGCTGGGGCAGGTGGGGCACAGCTGGTTGTGAGGCAGCACCTGCTCCCCCCACTCATATCACTGAGGAACCCCTGAAAGTCTGCAGGCCCCAGCTCTGGTGACACAGCATCTTCAGGGGCTCAGCCTGACTTCTTTCCTTCCCTTCATTCTGGAGCCTGGCTGGCCAGGAGGGGTCTCTTCTCTCCCACTGCCTCCTTATGAACCAGGTCAACAAAAGACCAAGGGAAGATTCTGGCAGTGTCCCCAGGGCTCAAGTCCAGGACTGGCTCTTGGCAGCAAAGCCACCTGATAAAGAAGCAGGCCTGGTTTAAAGGACTTCCAGCTCTGGGAGTACAGAAGAGGCTTGAGACCATGTTCAGGTGGGAGGGGGGCAGCCTCTAAGCCACCTCCCAGGTGGTCTACCCTGCTCCTGAGGTCCCCAGGGCTTAAAACTGCAGGAGTTGGCCGGGCACAGTGGCTCACACCTATAATCCCAGCACTTTGGGAGGCTGAGGCAGGCAGATCATGAGGTCAGGAGTTTGAGACCATCCTGACCAATATGGTGAAACCCCATCTCTACTAAAAATACAAAAAAATCACCTGGGCATGGTGGCAGGCACCTGTAATCCCAGCTACTCTGGAGGCTAAGGCAGGAGAATCTTTTGAACCTAAGAGGAGGAGGTTGCAGTAAGCCAAGATCGCGCCATGGTACTGCACTGCAGCCTGGGCAACAGAGTGAGACTCCATCTCAAAAGGAAAAAAAAAAGAGTATTCACAAAATCATTTGGGAAATGCCCTGAACCTGCTACAAGTGATGCATGTACCTTGACTGTGAGAGGCCAGGGTTTTGTTTTACCTAGTGAGTACCTAGTGTTGTACCTGAAGTGAGACTGCAAGCCTGTGTACACACTTGGAAAGCCACGTGACAGAGAAAATGGCCCTCCGCCCTGCCTGGTACAGGACTCCAAAGCTACCATGCCTGTTCTCCAGGAGGCCATTGGGAAAATGTATGTCCTGGCACCTGGGGCATTGGTCTCTAGAGAGGAGTTAGACTGGTGGGTCATTCAGAGGCTGCTCCAGGACTTCATAAGTCCCTCAGGCATGGAGGAGGGAAAGAGCTGTCTTCAGCTATTGCTTCACAGGGACCAACCAGCAGCAGGCAACCAGGGCTCCCCACAAGAACAGGCATAGCCGGTGCATGTGGGGGCTCTACCTTTGCCAGCATCCTTATTTGAGAAAGTTGGGATTAAGGGAACAGGAGGGACTGGTGAGAGAGAATAAGTCACCAAGACCAGCATCCTAGCCCAGTTTGGTGAGACACCGGCTCCAGCTTGGCCTTGGTAAGCCAGTGTCTTCCACAGCATCTAACTGGCACCTAACTGGCACTGCCTTGGTATCCACCTGCCCGTGCCTGAGCCCTGGGAGATGGTTCTTGACCGCAGGGTCCCGCAGATGCTCTCTGGCACATGGTGGTGATGCCAGGTACCTGTGCTCCCAGGCCTCCCAGTGCTCCCAGCTCAGGCAGGGCTGAGTTCTGCAGAGGCACCAAATGGGTCTTTGTCAACATTCCTTTCTTCTTTTTGTTATTTTTGGCTATCCCAAGGCTCTTTTATCTGTCTCTGTCAATATCCTATCTGGAGCACACGGTTAGCTAGAGCAGCTCCAGCTCTAAAACACTGACTCTGGCTTCCTTCTCCTTCCGCCAGTCCTCACCCCTACTCCAATCCTATCTGTACCCCAGGGCTTGGCTGCCCCCTCAGCCTCCTCTGACTGCCCCATCTTTGCTGAGCTCCATGAGGCTTTGCCCTGTAACAACCTCTCCTCAGGATCCTTGGTGCCCTGGCCTTAGTCATGCTGCTGTGCCCATTCTCCTGGCCCAGCCAGAGCTGGTGAGACCAACTGCGTCCTCTGAGTCTGTACCAGGGATACAGAACTCCACCTAGGAAGTCATGGCCTCCCTGTTCCCTTCCCACCCCCCACAAGATTTCTCTGCATGCCCCCTACCTCCCCAGCTCCTGGCCTAACAGATATACCCCTCCCTTATCCAGGATTCTCAGAGATGACCATCAAGTGGGAAGTCCCTCCCTTTCCTCCGTTCATGTTCACTAGCCTAGCTGCCTCCAGGCAGGGCCCATCCATCTGAACCTTCCTCCTTCTCCTGCTCTTTTGCTTCCAGGAGACCCCTTCTCCTGGCCTCCTTCTCCTCCGAGAACCCTGCTGTTTATGCCTTGCCACTGCTCCTCCTTCAGAGGCCACAAATCTCCCAGAGTGTTAAAGTGCAAGTAAAAGCCTCCCTATATCCTGTACTCCCTCCTCTTGCCTCTCTTCTCTCTCTCCTCCCTCTACAGCCATGCTTCTTGGAAGCACACAGGCATAGGCATGCCTGCTGTCCAGCCACTCTGTACCCCTCACCCCTCCACGCTGGCCCCCACAGGATCACACATTCCTGGCAATGGCTCCCCTCCAGCAAGGTCACCAACATGTGGGGGCTTTGCCTCAGACCTCCCACAAAGGTTCTCTCTGCCATGCCACCTGCTCTGCCTGGCCAGCAGCCACTCCCCTTGATGCCATTTCCCACTGGGGTTCTACAACTCTGACCTCCTGGCTTTCCTCCTACCTTATAGCCTGCTCCCCATCAGGCTCTTGTGGGGTCAAGAAAGAGAGATCCAGTCCATAGATGAGGAGGTTCCCCATGGTTTGTTCCACCCAACAATACACACACACACACGCACGCACACACACACACACACACACACACACACACACAAAATCTTTGCACCCCCAAGTGTACCCTGGCCAACTGCATTTTGCCCCATGGGGCCATCATTCCAACTACTGTCTTTCTGATCCACATCACTGTCCTGAACACTCAGACCCTGAGAGTCAAGTGCTTGATTGACCTCTCTCCAGAAAGCACGATGCGACACTCCAAATCTGAAT